TACATTAAGTTGGTAGATAGAATAGCTGAGCTAAGTAACATGATCAAAGAAAGGAGAAAAAGGAGAGGGTGGCTTACCCTACAAATATAGCATTCTTTTAATTTAAATAAAAATCATTCATTGGCAAAAATAAAGGAAATGATGAAAAGCAGATTAAGTTAAAGTTAGAACAGCTCCCGTCTAAATAGCAAAGCACTGTAAGATAAGGCCAAAGCAAAAGTAAGTTATGATAAGCTCATTGAATATTTAGTAGCTAATGATTCACCAATGCCCCCTTTTGTTGAGAATGGGAGCCTCTCTCCCAATAGGCCCATGTTTTTCATTTTCTATTTTATTTTTTGCTTTTACAAAAAGGAAAAAAAAAGAAAGAAAAGAAAATCAGAAAATGAAAGCAAAGGGATGGAGGGAGGGAGGGAGAGCGGGGACACTTGGCGCGGCGTAATTGATTGGGTGGGCGCTTGGGCTTGACTAGTTGGGATGGATGGTGGATGATGACCAACGACTGATGATGAGAATTGAAGTTTAGGCAAAGGTAGCTAGCCCCTCCCTCAGTGGCCCCCACCCCATCTAATCAAATATCAATCTCTTTGGGAACTTGGGCCTCTCTCTCTCCCCACCTAATTGAGCTCCACTGCAGACAACATTATGCCTTGCAATATTTTGGTTTTGGATTTTTATTATGGTTAGTGCTTTAGGGTTTAGTGGAATGAGTATAATTGCATGGTTTAGAGTTTAGTCATTAGATAATTAATGTTGTGGTCACCCTCATGATCATATCATAGGCCTCATCCTTAAATACCTCTCAAGTTAAAGTTTACCAAGTGAAATGGAAGTGTTGTCTTATTATATATCATTAATCAGATTAATTTTATTTCGGTATATAATTTATGTAGGTAATTTGGTAACGAAACATATCAAACTATTTGATAACAGAACATTAAGTCATTTATTTTGATCTTCGAAGTTCATCTGTTTTTAATTCGCTAATTCTATTTATTCGTTTGATTACGAATGTGGGGAAATGCTTAGACTTAGTCAAATTGAGTTTGTTTGTTTTTTTTTGTTTCCAAAGTCCGCTAGGTTGGCCATATAGCATTGACATTGTTTGCGAGGGAACGTTTGAAATGGTAACCAATTAATATATACACATGTGGACACACAGACCCCATGTCCAAATTTATTATGATTCTTTCAAATCAATTATGCAGTTGTAGGTCGCTAGTATGATGCACGAATGGTTTAAAACTGTATATATATTTATATTGATTCTTTCAAATCAATATGTATGCAGTACCAAGTTGCTATGTGAAGCTACAACACGAATTCTGGAGATTGAAGGGCTTAAAGTGATAATATAGAAACATACGGATGTCATAATAAATAAATATATATATGTATATATCCCATATCCATATGGGACCAAATGTGATTTGTCAAAGATAAAACCGCGTGAGATTTGTCAAAGATGACGATCTGCTTAACATGAAAATTACCTGCATTAGTAGCCTAAACTACACAGCTAGCTAAGCGTTAAAAGAGATTAAAAAAGGTGATGTATATGGCCAGACTAGCGCATTCAATCAAAGCTGAAAACTGACAAAATTAAGGCATAATGAGTGGAGGAGGGAAAGAAAACGGAGGCAAGTTTTCTTTTTGAATGATCAGGCTTCATGCATGGTCATGGGATATATCTACGTATTTGTTTTCTTCTTTAAACCTTTATAAAGTTTCAAAAGGGTGCATGTGTGTATTGCTATTGCAGCAAATTAGCTTTTGCATAGGGTTCCACAAGGTCGGTCTTTCTTTACTTTCTTTTTCCTGCTCTTGCCCTTTCATATATGGCTCTTGTAATGGGACAATTTTTTCATTATTATTTTTCTTTTATACACCCGATATTGAAAGGGACATTCGAATACAATACTTTGTGTGCATGAATATCTATTGTTAACCACTTGAGTCATAAACCCGTTACATATTTTGAGACGAATATAAACCTAGACCCTCACCCCACAACCAAGAACACAATCGCTCCTTTTAATCTGTATCTAGCTATGGTAGCTACTATTTCTCTTTTTCATGAACATTGTTTGTTTGGATTCCCTCTCCAAAAAGCACGTGTTTATACTTCATACTATACACACACAAAAATATATATTTTATATTGTATATATGATACTTGTCACTCACATTCTCATCTCTGAGTCTGATTGCATCCTTTTTCACGAACGGTATGCAGAGGGAGTAACATGGGCTTTCTCGCTTGAATCAGTAGCCTCTTTTTGGCGGGAGACTTCGCTGTCAAGAAAGAGACCAATGAGATGCCCATTTCTGGTTTCTTGCCGTTTGGAGGGCTCCACCAATTGAAGATTTTAAAAAGGTCGACAGGATTGCGCGTTCCTCTTCCTATTGGGCCAGGTGGTGGACGGCGGACTTACCCACCTGGCAAGGTTAACGAGCTAGATACCTGTTTGGTGGAGGAAATATAAGCGAAAGTTTTTATTTTCCTTTTTTGGGTTATATTATACGTGAAAGTTTATATAAGACCTCTTCAAAGAGAGCTGAGAGAAATGCTAATATCGTAGCCATAAAAATAATATTGAAATATAAATTAGGACTTAAGTAAACCCTATGCAACTCCATGTTAGAACTGTGAAAGTTTGTTCGGTTTAGTATTTTCCGTACTTCATATAATTACAACTCGGCTAGTTTAAGGCCCACACGGATTATCAGTCTAATCCAAATTAATAATTTTAAATAAAATTAAATTTAACATAGTTAGGTTTCTGTCACTTCGCCGAGAGAAAATGTGGGGTTACGTCTTCCTCTACTAATTTTCTCATTGTGTACACTAATGCTCAACAATTTTGAATTTCTGTGGACAGTTAGTGTTTGTCCTCTCATTCATGGAATACGTAGGAAGGGTCCAACATCGACTTGCTGCCCTTTGTCTTTGTTTGATGAAGACCCCTTCCTGTTTTTTCTTTTTTGACTTCTTTTGTGGAGGAGGTTTCCCAATTTCTACGTATATCAGTGACATATTAATTATTAAGTTAATACGATGCAAACTACTCGTTTGAATTTACATGAGTTTATATGAGTTTCGGTTGGTGTGAACAATTAACTAAATTGTCAATATATCATTAATAGTTCATAAGGACTGACTTGGACGCAACTCCAATTCAATCCAAATAAATCTAGTAGTAAGATAAGATGTCACCATTAACAGATTGAAAGTTAGCCCTATTATTAAACACTGTCTGAAATATAACAAATTAACAAAGAACTAGCAACATAATTCAAAATGATTCCTAATCTAGTTATTAAAAAAAAAATAAAAAAAATCTAGAATTCATGAAGCATGCGTGCATGATACATCTAAACAATAGTGAAGCAGTCACATGACAGTATCATTGATAACAAAAAAAACACAGAAAATAAAAAAATTTCAACTTTCAATTTTGAAAAACGAATTCGTGTTTCCTACGAATGTGAAAGTGAAACAGCATAAGGAAGGTGCCAGACCACCGTGAAGATTGTCGTGTGTGGGTGGGTGTGGCCAACATCCAATTCGAGTATGAAACTCGGACCCATCACATCAGTACACGTGGCTGTGCGGGATTGGCTCCAATGGCAACCCCTCATTTCATTTCGTATACACGTGGGAATGGAGAAAAGCCGCCCAAGCAAGCACGATGAAAAATAGAAAAATTCAAACAAAAAACAAGATTAATGTGATAGAAATGAATTAACCAAAACAGGCATTGAATGGAAATGGAAAATATATTAGGCTCTCCTCCGCCTCATTTGAGTGAATGAATGTGAAGGTTAGGTCACGAAGATGGTCACTTCCCCTTTAAAGTTTTTTAATTTTCAAACCCACAAAAAACAATTTCAAATTTTTTCTCTAATTCAAGTAAAATATTTGAGAATTCGAACACAATATCTCGGACGAAATGCTACAACATATTCAAAAGTTTTGAACCCACCAAAATCAAATGCCGATATGATAAATAATAATATCAAATACCATATACAACAAATGTACATGATGGTGCATCATGCATGTGCCACAGCCAATCATATCATTTTTTTTGATCGGATTAAAAAAACACAAATATATTATTCATCATTATAAATATTGATAAATAGTGTCTGGCCTGGGTGTGTGTGGCCCTGCGGGCATAGTCTACTCCACCATCATCCATTAATGTTATCTCATGGAATTCAGCGTTATTTTTCAAACTTCCCCTCATACCCGCGCACTAAACTATAAAGCAACCAAAAACAATCCGTTAGTTTTATTTATATATCCATTTTTTTTAAAATTTAAAAAATATATATTCCAGACTTTGCAGAAGTCCTCACAAGTCATTGGTTGTAAAGAAGACAGAGAAAGTTTCAAAAAAGGTTTCAGCTTATTACTCTTCTACACCTCCTCTGTTCTGTTCTCTCCAGTCCCACCCCAAACTCTCACAACCCCGATCGTAGTTTTCAGCCTAAATCTCTGTAAGTTAGTGGAAGTTGATACAAAAATACAAATACCCAGATCCAATCTAATCTCTTTTCTCAAGTACATACACTGTTTGAGCATATATTTGGTATATTGGGCTGATGTCTTTTCTCTTTCTTCAATTCTTATAAGTTTCAATTCAGGGGATAGTGAAACTTTGAGAAAGAGTAACTCCAAAGGTGCGTTTGAAAAGTTAGAATCCGAGGCAAATCAATCGGGTCATGGTTTGGACTGTGCTTATGCTTCCGTTTGAACCCAACAGTATCTGTGAAGATTATTAGGAAAAAGAGAGGGAAGGGTTTCTCTGCTTCTTTTGGGGTCTCGCCGTTTTCTTTATTATATAGCTCAAAAAGACTTCGGCTTTAGTTGTATTATGCAACTTGGTTTTGATAAAGGGATCAAGGAGCGTCCAAGGCCAAGAGAGAGACTGAGAGAGTGAGACTGCTGAGAGAGAGAGAGAGAGACAGAGAGAGGTGAAATTAAATACCCAATGCCGCAGGAGGAGCCAAGGAAGAAGCTTGGAAATGAATATTCTAATTCCAAGAAGAAGGAGCGCCACATAGTTACTCTGGTCTCAAGAGGTCTTTCTTTTTTTTATCTTGCTCACCTTTCTTTTTTTTTTTTTTTTTTTTTTTTTTTTTTTTTGGATTTTAGATAAATAGAGTTTTAGTTTTGATTTAATACCAATACCCCCAGTCATATTTCTTGGTTTTCTGACATGGGTTGGTTCATTTCGTGAGTTACAGGAGGATGACATTCTGCGCAACCAAATTAGCGTTCATGGAACAGACAAGTATGTTTCTTAGTTTTTTGACATGGGTTGGTTTTACTTGACATTAATTCAATTTAATTACCTTCTGTTTGCTGGTGCTGCATCCTTTTTTTTTTCTTTTTATTTTTTTTCGTAGAAAATGAACTGAGGGCTTAGTTTTGTGATCATTTTGTGTGCAGTTGGGCTATCATTGCGTCTAAATTCAAGGATAAAACAACGAGACAGTGCAGGAGACGGTATTTTTCAAACCCAATAATTAATGTTGAATTCAACTTTTCCTGAGCCATCCTCTGTTTTCTTCCACCCAATTATTCGGCTATAGTTGTTTTGACTACTAATCTGTTTTTATATGAATTTGAAAATAATGTTGCAGATGGTACACATACTTGAATTCTGACTTCAAGAAGGGAGGATGGTCACCAGAGGAAGACATGCTCTTATGCGAGGTAAACTTCTGAAACTCCAGTTTATGCATCCTAAAATGGTGAAATATATACAAGGTTAGTTTTAATGAAAAAACTTTTTTCCAAAAACTCGATCTAGGAGAAGCTCTTTCTTTTAAAGACTTGAATTATTTTCTTGAATCTCGGTTATAATAAGACCAAGTAGGCCAGACCTATTGATTGCATAGTCTGTCTTCCTAAAGTTCAACAGAAAAACCCACCACAGTTCATTCAGCATTTTACATTATTGCCCTGATCATTGGATGTGGTAACAGCAACCTATAACTGAAGGTCATCTGATCTGCAGGCTCAAAAGATATTTGGTAACAGGTGGACAGAAATAGCTAAGGTGGTTTCGGGAAGGTATAGTATCTTTCTTTTCCCCCTTTGTGCAATAAGGCAGGTCTTTGTAATGACTCGCTTAATCTGTGCTACTTATGCAGAACCGACAATGCTGTGAAAAACCGGTTTTCGACCTTGTGCAAGAAGAGAGCCAAATATGAGGCCTTAGCTAAAGAGAACGCTACTTCATACATCAATTCAAATGACAAAAGGGTCATAATCCGAAATGGTTTCAATACAGATGGAACAACAGAAACTACAGCACCTTCTAAGAAGATGAGGTAGAGTAGAAATTACATCTTTATGTACAAAAATGTTGATTAGATTACTACTCAATGTAGTAGAACTCATTCTTTGTGCGACACAGGAGAACCCACATCCCCAATCTCTCCGAAAATTGTAACTCCGGGGACAGACTATTTGAGCAGTGTGGAAAGATGAATCAGCAGCTAAGAGCTCCATTTACTGTGTTGATTCAGAATTTCCACAATGTAGACAACCTGCCAGACCAGCATAATGTCAGTAGCACTAAGGAAGTCCCTGGGAATGGTAAATCACCTGAAATAAAAATTTGTTTGAAAACTCATCAGATTGCTATGACAATGCCTGAGAAGCACATTGCTTGAAATGTGTGAGAAAATAAGCTTTTTTTATTTATTTAATTTTTTTATATAATGAAAACATAAGCGTATTTTTGTTCTATTTAGCCAACAAAATGTTGGCCTATTTATCAGTTGAAAATACAAGATGCGGTGATTTATATGTTTTCAGTTATAAAACTTCAGGAGAATCTAATTCCATTCTTAATGTCATTTACCTGCAGCACAAAATAGCAAGTTTCAAGGATCATTTCTCAAGAAGGACGATCCGAAGATAACTGCTCTGATGCAACAAGCAGAGTTGCTCAGCTCATTGGCACTAAAAGTTAACACAGAGAACACAGACCAGAGTCTTGAAAATGCTTGGAAGGTGAGATTTAATTTTTCATTGGTTGTGGCCTCAGCTATCAACATGTAATTGATATCAAAATATAAATATGACTCACATATATAGCAACCAAATGAGTACAATTCCCAACATCAATCAACAGATGCCATACTTTCCGTAAGATAGTCTAGACCATTCCAACAGAGAATAATGTAGTTATGAGACTTGGTTGAATGTTTATTCATCAATGTTAGATATCTAGCTTAGTACTTGAATTCCCTCCAATCAAAATTTTAAGTATGGTGCAAAATTGAGTCTGCATATCCTCTAACATATATCAAATGTGATATCCAGGTGCTCCAGGATTTCTTGAATCAAAGCAAAGAAAGCGACATCCTCAGTTATGGAATTACTGATTTTGATTTTCAACTCGAAGATCTTAAATATCTGTTAGAGGACTTAAGGAGTACTAATGAAGGAAGTCGACCATCTTGGCAGTAAGAAAAGTGACCTGGACTATTCTGATTTGAGCATGCTTAAATCACCATACATCATCTAATTGATGACATATTATTGTAGGCAACCAGATCTATACGATGAGTCCCCAGGAAGCTCTGAATACAGTACAGGGTCAACTCTCCTGTCCCAAACAGAATGTTATGTGGAACAAAACGAAGCTGAAATAGGTACACTGATTGAGGAGATTCAACCTGGATCACAATCCATTCCTATTGGAGGGGGAAATGATGTTCGAGAATGTGAGAAAGGGATTGTTTCCAGAGGAACCAGAAAGCAAGGTAATGGATTATCATATAAGATATATAGGCTGATAATAACTTTACTTGTGAATTATATATCATAGTTTCCAGCTTAATTAGATTTCATAATAACATATCTAATCTTATTTCTGCAGAAATATTTCCATCTTGTAATGAAGGAACAAAAACTGATGCAGTCATTTCTGTATCGTCAAATACAGAGTTCAGTTCTCCTAATCAAGTTACCCCGTTGTTCAGATCTTTGGCAGCAGGAATTCCCAGCCCAAATTTTCTGAAAGTGTAAGTTCCCTCAGGAGCTCAAATCTTTCAAATAATAAGTTATTTGAAACATCCTTCATTGTATTAGCAGCACCTTCAGTCGCTATCAAGTCACTAGTAGGCTTCTCAGATTACTTCATCGAAACATTTGTAGGACTTCTAGTCTTCTGAAATCACTAGTGGTATTAGTAATGATGGCTCTGGTTGTCAGGAAAGATTGACCCTGCAACATTTGTATGTAGGACTCTCTTAAGTCTACTGATGATAAACAGCCATTAGGACTGAACTCATTAAAAACAGGCCAGGCCAATAATAGTTGCGGAGCCAGAGAGTAGAATACTATCGTGTTTTTTGCCTAATAGTTATTACTTTTTTCAGTCACATATTCTATTTCAGTAAGTTATGTAATGGCTAGTATAAAAAGCTTAAGTGCATATAGCAGGAGAGCAAGCCTAACCAGTTATGTTGTTGGATTTTTCAGGAAAGGAGCTTCTTGCTCAAAACGCTTGGAGTGGAGTCTCCTTCTCCTTACCCAAGCAACAATCCTTCACGACCACCACCCTGCAAACGAGCCCTCCTTCAAAGTCTATAATCAACCAGCCTTTTTGATCCACCTTATACATAGAAATTTTACATGGCTTAGTTGCCTTGCCTATTGAGTTCATGTCTTTTTGAATTCCTTTCCTCTTTGGATTGCAGCCATTCCAGCCTGAAATTTTACCAAAAGGCAGGTTAAGATCTGCTTACCAAAACCCAGATCTAGAATGTTACGGTGCATTCTAGCATTTCCAAAAGTATCTAACAAAGTTTTCTGCATTCTTTTGTCCCTCAGCAGAGTTACCACCCTCGGAGTTCCTATCTGGTACTCACATTCTGCGTGCTTGGTGTGTCATTCTTTAGTTTGTCTTGGCGTGTTCCATTTTTTGGCCTTTGATTTACCAGTTGTACAGAACCTGCTATATCCCTAGTCATTCAGAGTGTAAGACTGTAAGTGTACATTGGCACCTCGCCTATATCTTCAGCTAGAGTATATGTTGAAAAGTAAACACAGAGAGAGAGAGAGAAAGAGAGAGAGAGGAGAGAGAGAGAGAGATTAACCAGTTCAAGTGGATTCCTGTTTATCGTTTTTTGGTGTGCAAAGGTATAGCATAGAATTAAGTTCATTTTTTTCTTCTTTGCTTTGGTTTCCCTCTTGATTTCTCATGTAACCAAACTTAATATAATTGGAGTGAAAATGGTTTTGGTTTTTGTGTGCACTTGTCTCCTTTTGTCTAGTTTGCTTTCTTTGAATTAAGACATGAACTGATGAACACATTTCCAGAAAGTGCAAAAGAAAGGTTAGAACATTCAGCATCAGGAAAGTGAGACTCAACTGGCACACAGATGTAGGAATGCATGAGTTTCAAAACAAACGCACAAGAAATCCAAAAAGAAAATGGCATTAAAGTTGACAGAAAATTGTAATTGACTGGTTTTACTTACCGGAGGGTATGGTTTGAAGCATGAAGGAAGCTCCCTCAGTTCTTCACTTCTCTCATGAGACTTGAATATGTCAATTGGGGAAGAACAGAAGAAGGGTTCTGAGAAAACCGTGTTATATTAAGTTTCATGGATGGTGGAGGTGGAGGACAAGTATGATCATTACGAAAGCAAAAGCAATTGGAAAAAGAGGGAGGGAAGTCTCTACAAAATAAAGTGCACTAAGTTATTATCAGCTGTAATCTTTCTGGAGGAAAGGTAAGCATAAATTGACACTTTTGACCACTCTGACTCCCACAGAGAATCGCTTGACCCCTCAAGGACAAACTTGTAACAAAGTGCTCTGTTTCTTTCACACTGCTGCTTTGCGCAATTTGCATTAGAAAAACGAAAGCAGAAGATTACTGATGCAGAACAGTGGCTATAAGACCATCTCCAACCCTTGGGGTGGAAACTCAAATTTTGAGTTTAGCCTCCAAAAACCATCTCCAACCCATGTATTTTGGGAGGTGGAAATTTGAGAAATCTCAAATCTTGGGTGGAATTCCAGTCCCTTTTTTGCCTGGACTGATAATTTTGTGGGCCCAAAATCTGCTTTTTTTATTATTTTTTTTCTGACTAAAGCCCATGTGCTGCACAATGTTTGCTGGGCCCAGTTTTGGTTCCACTGTTTGGGCAGCAACTTTGTGCCAAAAATATGATATTGCTGGTTTGTTTTATTTTATTTTATTTTATTTTAATTTTTTTATTTTAAATATTCCAACAACTATATTTGTAATCAATAATCATGATTAATTTTAAGCAATCTCAACGGCAAAATTTAATGATTGTCGTTTATTTAAAAATGCTTAGATAATTTAAACACACTTACATAATTCAATGAAGAGTTCGAATTATTCCGGGCATACGTATGGTATTGTACTTTTTTTATTTTTTAAGTGAAATTCAATTATGTTTTGGAATTTTATTTTTTTTAGGTTAAAATGTTTAGAAAATTAAATCACGAGTGTTGAAACAAAAATAATGTCAAGAAAAATTAACAAGAAACAAAATTTAGGGGTTAATCATTTTTAAAAAATTTAATAAAGTTGCGGACTCAAATTATGAGTCTACAAGGTTGGAGGAAAAAAAATTTTGAGTCCTGAAAATACATGAATAGTTGTATTTTGGAGGGTGAAAATTTGAGTTTAGCCCCAACATGGTTGGAGATGGTCTAAGCGGCTGTCCAGCGACCCAAATGTACCCAAAATACACAGAATAGAAGGATAAAGCTGTAGAATTGAAGTTGGAACGAAGATAATTGAGTTCTAGGGCTAAATACCCAAAGAAAACTCTTTAGACTAAAGTCTGAAATTATATTGATTGAACACTGAATACAAAAGTCTCTTAATAGCCTATTTATACTAGAATACACCAGCCTAGAATTCCTATTCCTAGTTTACTTAGAAAATCCAATTGATAAAGGAAATTAGAAACAAAACAAGAAACTTAAACCAAATCCGAATGAAGGGAGGAAAACAATTAATTTAATAATGTAAAATATCTAAAACTTAGCCCTTTTTGACTAGGATTGATGCTCCTGCATCAACTCCACTGGGTTGGAAAGAACTCGACTCTGGCAAGAAAGCTTTAACAACTTCAGCATATATCTTTGGATCAATCCTCTTTAATTCTTCTTCAGGAACCCACGTGCTCTCAGTAGCTTTCTTACCCAACCATTTCACTAAGAACCGCCTATACTGGTTACCTCTCCTTGCATGGCCCAAACTTTTTAGACTTCAATTTATGGTATGTCTTGACGCAGAAAAATGGTTCGGCACTTTCCCGCGCAACTTAGTGATTAAGTCTCTTCGGTATCTGGTGTCCTCGGTAGGGTGTGTGATCTGTAAGATAGCAAACACACGGTAAGTCCTAGGGCACCGGTGTGGTACCGGCCGAAGGCTCTCCGATGCTTAAGTAAGTACGGATTTAGTAAGTTTGAACTGCAGATCAATAGGCAGTATGCCGTAAGTTCTGATTGAGTACCTTCAAGCTGGGATGGTTGTCCTCTTTTATAGGCCTTGGGAGGTGTGCAATTTGTTTGGAGTTTCGATGTGGGTACTCTGGGCGTCAGATGTGAGACTGCCACGCGTCAAAGGGGGCGAGGTTGCCCTAATGTTTCGATCGGTAGGTTTGGTACCGAAGGTGGGTGCCGAAGGTACACCTGGCCCTGGTTTAGCCCACATGTCTGATATTCATTGGATGTTCATTTTGGTATAAACAGGAGTCCCCCAAGTCCCATTGCGAGAGTCCTCGGAAGGGGATTTGAAGTTGTCTTCGGAAAGAAACATGGCCCTACCGTTCGGTAACCCGACTCGGGGAAGGGGCTAAACCTTGTCCCTTCCGGCATTACCAGCTCAGAGGCTGAGGTTGGTGAAGTCAGAAGGTCGCGTCGAGCTGACGGGTGAAGGGACGTCTGAGCGCTTCGACTTCCGCGCCTCGCGTGCCGTCTGTTCCCCACAGGATGAGCGACACGTGGCGAAAGTAATGATGGCGCGATTTGGTTTTTCGAGGAGTACTGTTGCCAACCTCCCCCCTATAAATAGGGATGACCCCGGAGGCGAACTCACTTTGCATCTAGTGAGAAGTGAGAGCTCTGTCTGAGGCGATTTCCGACGAGGGCTTCCGGTAATCAGGCGATTTCCGACGAGTGTTAATGGTAACCAGGCGATTTCCGGCGTTTCGAACGGTAGGAAAGGCGATTCCCGATATTGCTAACGGTAGTGAAGCACCCTGAAGAGCAGATCGCGCTTATCTTCCAGAGTACACATTAAGGTACCGTTCGGCACTTGTCTCTTTAATCTGTTGCATGCTTTAAGGGTTACGTCATTCCTTGGTTCGAACTAGACTGACCATAGGGTTTCATTCGGTAGTCTAGTCGCCATAGGTAGCGATGTAGGGATCGGTAGGATAGCATCCGGCATGAGCCTTAGTTTCCCTTTTTCCTGTTTTTGTAGATGTCTGATAGCCAGTCATCCTCCGAGCGCGAGCCCAATGCGTTCGACGAGGAGTCATCAGACGGTCTCTTTGACTCTGACGGCGAAGCGGCAGGGCCTGATGCCGAGGGTGGGAGTGATACCGACGTCGAGATACTCGGCGAAGGGCCCAGCTCCATTCCAACACACGGAGTCGGAAAGGGGTTAATGACCGCTCCCGTCCCGTTGTCAATCGTTTATAGTGACGGCCGCCACGTGGGCCTCGGTATGCCTGGGGAGGCGAGCGGTAGCCGTCAGTCAGAGACTTCCACCTCCGGTCGTGGAGAGTCGGCAGCTAAACCACCATCTGGGCCCAGGGTATCGGTAGTGTACCCAAGCAACCCTAGGATGCCTATGGGGGTGCCGAAGGAAAACTTATTCGGCGTCGACTATCTTGGGCCGAACAAGATTACCGAACTGGAGATTGCCAAATTTCGAGCAGAATACCGCATTTCCGACTCGGTACGGATGAGGATCCCGGGCCCTACCGAATCTCTTATTTCGCCGAAGGACGGCGAGGTAGTCTTCTTTACCGACGTCCTTGTGCAAGGCGTTCGGTTGCCGTTGCAGCCGGCGGTACAGAGGATTCTGGCCCAGATCGGATACGCCCCGGGGCAATTCAACCCCAACTTCTGGGTGGCCCTCATGGGAGTGATAACGGCATTTGGCATGGCTGGCGAAGGGAGCCCCTCCTATGAGCAGTTCTCCCATCTCTACAGCATTACCAAGTCCAAGTGTGCCGATCACGGCGGATGGGTGCAGGCGAACTGTCTCAGGGCTGCCGATCGGGGCCACTTTGTCAGCTGGGTACCGAACTGTTGACGCAGAAAAATGGTTCGGCACTTTCCCGCGCAACTTAATGATTAAGTCTCTTCGGTATCTGGTGTCCTCGGTAGGGTGTGCGATCTGTAAGATAGCAAACACACGGTAAGTCCTAGGGCACCGGTGTGGTACCGGCCGAAGGCTCTCCGATGCTTAAGTAAGTACGGATTTAGTAAGTTTGAACTGCAGATCAATAGGCAGTATGCCGTAAGTTCTGATTGATTACCTTCAAGCTGGGATGGTTGTCCTCTTTTATAGGCCTTGGGAGGTGTGCAATTTGTTTGGAGTTTCGATGTGGGACTCTGGGCGTCAGATGTGAGACTGCCATGCGTCAAAGGGGGCGAGGTTGCCCTAATGTTTCGATCGGTAGGTTTGGTACCGAAGGTGGGTGCCGAAGGTACACCTGGCCCTGGTTTAGTCCACGTGTCTGATATTCATTGGCTGTTCATTTTGGTATAAACAGTATGTGCCTTTAGGAAATCTATCTCGTCTCAAATGCACCCAAACCATATCACCTTCTTCGAAATCTTTGATTCTCCGGTGTTGATTTGCAGCGGCTGCATACGACTCATTACTAACCTTTATAGCTGCTTTTACTTCTTCATGCACTCTTTTCATGTGATTTGCAAAACCTTCTCCTTCATTACTCACCCTCATCCCTTGGGGAAGTGGAACCAAGTAAAGAACATGTTGAGGTTTAAGTCCATAAGCAGCTTCAAATGACGTCTTCTTTGTTGATCGATTCACGGAATTGTTGTATGCAAATTCAGCTTGTGGAATAATCAAATCCCATGTCTTGACATTGCTTCCAACAAGGCACCTTAGCATATTACCCAGACTTCTATTTACTAATTTTTTTTGACCATCTGTTTGCGGATAACAAGTGCTAGAATACTTTAGATCAGTTCCAAACTTCCTCCAAAGAGTCCTCCAAAAATGCCCAGTAAACTTGACATCCATATTCGAAACAATAGATGTTGGCACACCATGTAGTCTCACCACTTCTTTGAAGAATAAATTAGCTATATGTGTGGCATCTGCTGTTCTAGCACATGGAATGAAATGTGCCAACTTGGAAAAGTGATCTACCACGACAAAAAGACTATCATATCCTCTTGCTGTTTTTGGAAGTCCTAACACAAATTCCATACTAATATGAACGCAAGGGGCTTCTGCAACTGGTAAGGGCGTGTATAAACCTGTATTTTGTGAACTTCTTTTGCCAAACTGACAAATTTGACACTTACGGACCAATCTATCAACATCCTTATACATTCCAGGCCAATAATAACGATCAGTCACCATAGCCAATGTTTTATCCCTTCTAAAATGTCCTCCTAATCCATTACCATGAAGCTCCCTAATGATTTGTTCACGTAATGATCCCTTGGGAATACACAACAAATTGCCTTTAAATAAATACCCATCATGCATTTTAAATGGTAACATCTTCCAACCTGTTGGACCTTGGAGTTCAGAAACTATTGTTGGAATTTTAAAAAGGTTTAAAACATTTAACCGTTTATTTATTTAATTATTTTGGCTATTTTATTTTATTATTGTGGGGGTTATAAATATTTAATGTTCAGGTTTTATTTCTATATTGAATGCCTTAATTTTCTAGTTGGTGAATGTTACATGTTCTTGGATGCCTATAAAAGGCTACTCCTCCTTCACATTTGTAACAACCACAATACACCATTAGAATATCACATACCACAATCACCATCACAAAATAATTCTCTTATCTTCTACTGTTATATATATTCTCTACTTTATATTATTATTTTGGCAATGGTTCTGTGACTTGGATAACTATATCCGTCTATGAACGTGCTCATAATTGATCTTGAGTTTGTGTACAAGGGGTTGTATCTTGGAGTTTTGTAGACCGTCAGTACCTGCACGTAGGGAGACTACAAAGGCTTTAGGACAACGTCTTTGACGTGCTTCACTGTACCAAACTCACATTCTTACTTATCATTTATTTTGCTTTTACTTACCTATTATTTTGTTTTCTTAAATTTCATTGTACCTTAAAAGCTTTCCAATTTGTTTATAAGTTATTTATAATATAAATATTTTTGTATTTGGCTTTACAGAAAAGGAAAACTATAATTTTTTACAACAATCTAAAGCCTTTGTAAATTAAAGTTGTTTTCTTCCTGTATTGCTATTGCTTTAATACCTTTTAACTCTTTGAGAAGCTTTTGCATTTGTATTGGATTTTCAAATTGAAAATTACGATTTGTTTTGGATAGATGCAGTTTAAAGCTTTCATGTTGTCTATACAATTTTGGTTGCTTTAAATATTGTTGGTACATTTATATTTTTTATAATTTGTCGCTAACATTTGGGCAATTACTACTAGTGTTTGAGGAAAAAGGAAAAAAAAATTGTTTGTTTTGTTGCATCTTTTCGTGACATATATGTTGCATCTTTAGGGTGGATGTTGGCAATTCTTTTCTTATCATAGGTTTTATATTTATTTTCCTAGGAAAGTGTTTGATTATTGATTGTCGTTGCCAATGTTGAATTTATTTGAAAACTCCTTATTTGTAATAAAAAGAAAATAGTGATTTATGTTTGTTACGCATAGATAAACAAATATGTATGATTTTTCTGAATCTTAAAACAGTTTTCTCTGTTATATGTATGTATATACAAATAACTTGATTATTCTATTTACTTATTAAACTCAAAAACATGTTGTAGTATTTTTTGTGTGTAAATTTTCTTTGTTGGCGTAAAAGAAAGTGAGATTATAAGAGTATGTTTATAGATTTTGCTTGAGAGTATAAGAGTTATTATATTGTTATGATTGTTGAAGTTGAAACAAAAGAACTATTTTTTATTTATTATATGTGAAACCAAACGTCTTTGAAGTCTGAATTATAAATCATATGTGTTTTAAATTAATTGCGACTTATAATTATGACATTATTTCTTTGTATAGAATGTGGTACCAACCTTCGAACCCAAGACCACTAGGAGTTAGTGCAAGCACTGAACCACATTGAATTTATGGTTTTTAGTGTGTACGTTATTCATTAGACACTTGTATTTTATAATTGAAAGTTTGCTATGATGAAATTTAAGGTATGATTAATATATTTCTATTGTTTCGAATAAAAAATAATGTAATTAATTATTTAATTTACTCTGAAGCTTTACACTGGTCGTTCATTTGAAATGAGAAATTGATATTTTACAAAGCTTAGACTACAACTTATTTTAGTAATATGATTAATTAATGACTTTCTTTCAAAACTGGTATTTTAATGGGAAAATGAATATCAAATTATATTATTGATTTTGTTGGATATTTATTATCTGTGGTTCTGGAAAATGGATCAAATTATGTTATGTGTGGTGTCTTTCGAGTATTTTATGTAACTATACATATATTTTTATATAGCTATACATATATATTGCACTAACAATCTTGTCCAAAGCTTATCTTATTTATGGGAATAGAGATTTATGTGATTTTCAAATGGGAGTTATGATGGAATCGAGATTTTGGGGGTCGAGTATCATATACCTCCAGATAAGTGCTACTAATTAATTCTCTATCTTATGCAATTGTGAGCATTGCTACAAACGTATGTGATTCCAAGAAATTAATTTTGTTTGAATTTTGTGATATACAACAGTACAAAAACTTATCATTTTCCATTTGTTTAGTTTTGTCAAATTTGTAAAATATAAATAAATAAATAAATAAATAAAACCTAAAATGGAAATAGAGATCTATTTCCTGATCTTATTTACATGGTCCTTTTGTTGTTTACAAATAAGAGTTTATATTGGGTTTGTTAGTTTTATTCAACCTAGAAACACAAATTCATGAGAAAATGCCTTTATATTGTTGTGAATCCTCAACCTCATCAAACTTTAATTTGCTGACAGAACATATTAGTTTTATGTGATTTCCTGTTTTGGAACCAAACTCAATATTAGATCACTTTATATTTATGGAGAAATTAAATTTGACTATTATATTTTGCATATGCGTTTACTTTTTCAAAATAAAAAAATAAATTTAATGTTTTTTGGGTGTGGAAATTAATTTTCCAGATTTTGCCTAATGGTCACACTTGTTTTCAATTCCTATATTTATTTTGGCAATAAAGTTGTTAATAATGTTGAGTGATTATTGCCATTAACATGGTTATGAAACTAAATTGCATTGTGTTATAATCAGGCACGTACCTACTAACATGCTAATCTGGGCTAAAGCCCAGGCAGCTTGTTTTTTTATAGACTAAATTAATATTCTAGCCTAGGTCACCTAAATAAAATATTATTAATTAATCCCATTAGGACTAAGCTAACCACTTAAATAAAATATTATTAACTAATCATATTAAGACTAGGCTGGCCAACAAATAAATAAAAAGAACAAAATTAGCAGAAACATACTACTTGATTGATAGATTGATTCGTTTGGTGCTAACTCTTCCTGTGTCTACAACAACAATAGAATGAGCATTTTCATGTATGAGACTTATTAAAAATTGACTTTGGAATAAGATAGGTGATGAGTTTCTTGCTAATTGTATGCTACTTCATATTGAAAGAGAATTTGCTGATAATATAGATAATGAATCAATAATTAGTGATTTTAATGCTGTGAAGACTTGAATGGAGCAACTTATATAAGTGTTATTTGAGGGGTAAGATTCATTATGTCTCTCGTGTATTTTTTTTGTTATCAATGAAATTTACCCATACCGTTAAGTTTTTAATAGGTTTGTATGTAAGGTAAATTTAGCCCACATCATTTTGAAATCCTGGGTCCGTCCCTGGTTATAATACTATTATGCTTGGTTGGAGCTTGATTCGGTTATATAGTCTTGCTGCAGTTCTGAAGTCAAGACCTTTGCATCCGTTTTGGCCTCAAAACCTTCTTTGCTTTAATTTTTGAAAAACGAAATTGTAAATTAATTTAAATAGATTTAATATGTTTTGTCTTAAATTGGTATTCATATTTGACATTAAATTTTGTTGTTAACTGGCATTTAATTACTTTTAACGTTGGGTTTTCATGCATTATCTTTATGTTGTTTAATGCTTTATTACTTCAAAATGCATACTAATGCTAATAATTTATTTGTCGAATTTAATGTATGCGCTGGTAGTTTATGAACGTGGACAAATACAATAGGGTTGTGTGCATCTTTTAAACACATTTTTTTGTTCTCAAAATGTGAAGTCAAATATAACCATTTGTGCTTGGACTTGTAAGTTAACTAATGTTTTCTGATTGTGAAGTCTTGACAGATGCCACATTGAGTTAATTTCCAAGAAGTGTACATTGTGAAACTTTCTTGAGAAAACTGAAATGAAATAATAAATTATATCAATGTAAGTGGCATTTAATTTTGAGTTTTGGTATACAAAAGTCGCTTTTGGTTCCTATAGTTTGACATTTCAACCACTTTTGACCATGTAGTTTCAATTCCGTCAATTTTGCCATTATAGTTTCATAATTGTAGCAATTTAAGGACAATTCTAATTTCCATCAAATTATTCTAACTTTTGTTATCTATTAGGGGGTATTTTGGTCCAAACTTGCATCCCCCCCCCAACCAGCCAGCACTCAAGAACAGTCCCCCCCAACCCAATGCAACCCCAACTAGCCACCACACCCTTAAATGATCGCCACCACAGCCTCCCAAAGCGTCCTCAACCCCAACAAAGGCACAAGGCAGAACCAAGCAAGCAGAGAAGCTAGAAAAAGAAAAAGAAAAAGAAAAAGAAAAATGGTTTTGAAATTTGGGAAGGTGCGTGGAAGCTAAAAGATGAAATCAAAGCAAGAAAAAAGAAAAAGAAAAATGGTGGGCGTCTGAGACAGCTAGAAAATGACTCACATTCAAGCTAGCATGTTTGCCTATAAGATGAAGGCAGAATGTTGTCATCCAAACACATTAATCAAGGGCGTTAATAATGTACAAGTTTCATATATGCACCAAATAGATCTACAGACGAACAAGCAATGTTGAATCATGCATGAAAAGAAACACCAAGTATTAGTGGTGAGAGAGAAATCTGTAATGATGCTTCGAGGAAGTCACACTTATATGCACTTTTGGGGTATTGCTAAACAATTGCTTTGGTGTCATAATCACATTTAACGGATTATCATATAAGATATATAGGCTGATAATACCTTTACTTGTGAATTATATATCATGAGAGAAGGGCCACTTACCGTACTCGCGTTAAGAACCTTTTTTTTCTCTCTGTACCGTCATTGTCTTCTTCAGTCTTTTTGATATTCGCACTTCTCCCAAGAATTCGATTCTTCTGCAATATTCGCTCCTTATCATACTCTCTCTCTCTCTTCGATTTTACACTCCATACCCTAATCCCCAAATTTTTTCGACTTAGAAGCTTCTTCTTTTGGCCAAATCTACAAACTCAACTACTTAGATTTCGATTTTAAAAGCATATGGGGTCCACTTTGCCACGTAGGACGCTAATTATGCTCAACAATTGGCCATCGTGTGTGCTTTTACCATAATGACCCTGCCGCGTTAACATTTTTAACTGTCTTTTGGATAGCGTTAACGGTGGGAGGTAAAGTGAAATACAATACCACAGTCAAGAGGGTTAAGTGAGACACTTTTAACTTTGGGGGGAAGGATAAAATGAGATTTGACCGAAGTTTCAAGGAGTACTGCAGTAAATAAGCTTAAATAAAACTGCTATAGTCAGCTCAGTGTCCATGGAGAGAGACTCTCATGCAACGGGAATAGCACTTTTTGGTATCCCCGGCCAATAACACAATAACACGTGGAAGTTATCCCACGTGTCATTGTGTTCCCGTTACAAATCGTGATGCACTATTAAAACATTATGAGTTTTTAAAAATATTTTATATACAAGCGATATTGGGGAGGAGGAATCAAAACTAGGACCTCATGGACATGAGTAAATACTCTTAACCTCTTGAGCTACAAGCTCCTTTCAATTAAAACATTTTTAGTTAAAAACATTGCTTTATTAATTAATCAATGAACGATAACTTGTTTACACATTAATGGAATATACACCAGAACATGTTTTTGCATAGAAGGAATCACAATAAATATCAAGTGTACATGATAGAAACACTGCCCTTTTGAACCTAAAACATACTTACCACTTCCACACCTAGCCGACTCGCTGCAATTTTCTATTGCTGAAAGCAGGTCTTTCCGATCGTCTGTTGAGCTTTGACAGTCCCTTGAACTCCGGAAATGCATGGCAAGAAAACTTCAATTCAAGGTTCTCTGCCAGACCTCCAGAAAGAAGTACATATTATTCTAACTTGGCACCCTTTGATTTGCTTAGATGTAAAATATGGGAACTTCCTTATTGAATCATCCTGCAATCAACTTTTATATACTCATAGCTACATAATATCGTTGTGGACAAAGTTATGATGCTTTCCAGACCTTGTAGTCTCTGCCGAGGTCCACTTTGGGGTTCATAGTGACCTGGTCCGATTTTTACGGCAACCTTTTCATCAATGATGGCCGCATACACGTCTCTTTCTGCCTTGGTGATTTTAACCTATATTGTGAAATGAAAAATCAAATCGATGCTTTGATAATATGTTCCACAGAAGAACAGAAACAGACATCTAGTTTGATGTGAATGAAGCCTACAACTTGGTTATTGATACTTACTCTACTCCGACAGTTGAGCTTGTTCCGGTTTCTCAGAGAGAGTAGAGCTTTAATTTCAGAATGGTAGTGAGAGAAAATGTGGTCATAGAAAACTGTTGGTGTTCCTGGATGAGTCAGAATGTAAGCATATCCTTGCATTTCTTTATCATGTGGAAACCTCCAATGACCCTTCAAAAGGAAAGAATGAAAGTAAAAATTTGTAGCTGGTTACTCCCAGAATATCAAAAGTAATGATAACACTATAGAAAGGTCCAAACACTACTCTCTGCTCTCCGCTTATCTGAATTCCTGAAAGGAAGGTTGGAGGAGCAAGAGATAACTCAAGATATATGGTGATCCACCCAGAATGTAAAAGAGACCAATTCCATCACTTGGGAAGAGCTCATATGGAAGGGCCCATTTCAAACCCAGGTAGTGAACCTTAAGTTTTCTAGCAAAGAGGTCTTAAAACAACAAATTTTTTTGAAATGATCTACAGGATTTCTCATGAATGTCATCTAGAAATAAAAGTTGTCCGTTATTTAAGGAAAGCAATTCAGTGTAGGAAAATGCCTTCATTCTCAATTGGATTGTATCATGTTAAAAGGTAAAATTTAGATCAATGTCCTACCCAAGCTTGAATCTGATACGGGCTGTTGGAGGTAGGTGGATTTTAACCTCAGCTGTCTGATAGGGACAGATCAATATTCTTCTTGGCTAGAAAATAACAGGGGATTCAAGATCAAAGAAGTAACCTGAGTAGAACCAGTATCGTGATTCTCTATGAAAGTGACAGCACGAGATGGCCACCATCCAAGAACCCCTGGAGGCTTTTCCCTTCTGATCTGAGAATCGCCAATACTCGCATCTTTCCAGTGCCTACAAAATATATTCTATGTGAACAAAAGTATCATACGAACGTGGAAGGCAAATAACTATAGTTCATAGACAATGGCTAGTGTATCCACACGCATATCATTCAACAGAACAGTTACTGAACCTCTTGACTGGACATCGAACAAAATCAGATTATAAAAGGAAAACAAGCTAATATAGTTGATCATATCACATATACGCATTTGAGTATTATGTACCACTTAAAATGCAAACTTTAGGTCAATACTTGAGGTGCAAACTAGGTCCTTTCTAAGTAGGCGAGCACTCTCAAAAGCCGTTTTTCTTTGATTTAGAAACATGGTTTGCCACTAGGTGATACTGCTTCTTATGGAACAACCAGAATTCTGCCAAAAACTATAAGCAATATTTTACTTTAATGCCTGATAATGCGGCAGCCGCTAAATGGATGCTAAAATTCAACACACAAGTCAACACGATAGTATGAAGAAAAATAAAATTAACATAAACCTATGAATCAATACAAGCCCGTCTGATACCACGGGGGTGTACTATAGGGACCAATTGAGAACAAAATTGGCAGTTGTAATTTAAAATTACAAAGATGAACACTTACTGCGTGGAGAATCCCTTTTGTTGTGACATCAAATGCACCAGCAGTTCCATTAGTAGCATTGATCCAATCAACAATTCTCTGCCTGTGTGCATCTTGATTGTGATCCATTTCACCGTATGTATAACATAGGGAATCCCAATACTCGCCTACAGCAAAGTAGGGCTCAGTAGAATCTATGTAGTCCTTGACATAACCACCCCAAAATCCTCTAACAAAATCAAGCCTCCATCCGTCATACCCAATTTCTTCCCTGCTACAGTCACTCATACATTTACATTAAAATGCTAGAGTAAACTTTCAACATATGCAGCATAAGGGAAATGCACTTCAATACGATAAAATATAACAAGTCCATAATTTTTGAAGGAACGTCCATAAATATTAAATGCAAAGGCCAATATGATATTGTACGTCAGCATATGTATAAGAAATGCATGAGACAACCTCATCTCAAGAACTCTTGAAATATTCAATTCAAGAAAAGGAGAAGTATGAAAAGAACCAATTGCTTGTTGGAAAACCCAAATTAGAAGCAATTCACTAGAAAGCATAAATTGGCCCCATGGAAAGAAAAGACAACCAGTAAAAGTATACTACATTTTTCTCGTCAAAATAAAAACAATTTAAGTTTATACCATCAATGAAACCTTTAACAGACTGCCTTTAAACGCAAAAGACCATGAACCCACTCAAAAAGACATCAGTGCATTTATTTCTCAAAAGAACAAAGGGTCTCAAGGCTAGGTGGCAACTAGGACTTGCTCTATGGAAAATCCCGAGAAATGCTATGAGACACCCCTTGAAGGTACTATGACCTCTACTCTAATTTCCATAGCACAATAACTCAAGTCTATGATCTAGCATGTGAATGTGCCCGAACTTACACACGTCCTATAACAGTGAGATGATCTAGCTTCAGGATCTACTTTTTAGTTTCTAGGATGTGCATTTCTCTTTTACATACAGTATTGTATTTAGTCATAGTGTGGTACAAATCTTAAGTTGAATTCTCAAATAATAAGAACATCTTAGGAAATGGAGTAAATAGTCCAGACTATTAACCTTAGCCAGTGTAACCATTCTTTGATATCCTTCCTCACAAAATCTTGTGAATGATCAATGTTTGGAGCAGCATGAAAACACTCCCCGCTACTTTTATTGCCCCTGCCCTGTAGAACAGAAAGAAGGCATTTTCACCAATCTCAAAACATACTGCATACAAAATGTCACCGAGATAACGTACTAGGCAAACTTCGGCATATAAACATTCACTCTGCACATATGATAGACATACGAAGGCAATTCCATAAGCTGCAAGGTTCACACTTTTTACCCCTTCAACAAAAGTAGTCTAATACAAATCTAGAAGTAATATAATTTCTTCTTCCCACATATCACATCTATTCTATATTACTTTTAGTAACCAATAGAGATTACAAAATACCATTTTGATTCTGATATTCTGCACAACGGTGGTTCAGCACAGCATCTCCAAGAACTTTTATACCGACTTTATGGAATGTCCTCACAGTCTCCTTCAGTTCGTCAATATTTCCGTATCTGAGAAGTGTGAGACAGCAGCAATCAGTACTTTTTTAGTTTTCACAGTATACTCTGTACAATGATACTAACTAGCATCTCTTATATGAAAGTTCAATATGAAGACTAGAAAAGAAAAGTAACCCTCTGAACCAAATAAAAGGAAATTTACTACCATTCCCATAAACGATAAAGAATGAAACCTTAAGGTTCAACAAGTGATTGGTATGTTGATCAGAATGCGCATAAACCAAGCAAGCAGAGGTATGCCAAACTACATTTTTTTTTCAAGAGATGTTACAAAAATAGTTATAAATTTTTGAAAAACACAAGTGAAAATAGTAATCAAAGTGAAAGCAGAACAGAGCTAGCTCAATTATTTGGAGTGAACTACGAAGATCATGACAAAATTATTATGTGTATTATGAATTTAAGATATGGTACCTGGAGTTCAGATTATATAAATCCTTCGGCATGTACCCTTCAGGTGACACAGAGTCTGTAGGGGGTGGTAACCAAATCACAGTGAAACCTAGTGAAGATAATTCTGCAGCTTTACTTTGGAGTTCCATGTACCATCTTCCAGATTTATGAGATTCCCAGTTAAAACCTTGGCACAATATTTCAAAACCTGTGCCTGTCCCTGAGCATATTTTGACGGGGGCTTTCAATTCTTCAGTCTCTGAAATTGCTTCCTCTGTGAAAGTTGGAACAGTGCTTCGGAAGATACTATGGGCTTCGGAAGCCAATTTTTCTATTTCTTGAAGAATGCTTTCTTGTGCTTCTTTGGACTTTGTCTTTTGATTCTTCTCAGAGGAAATGTCACTCACTAAGTTCCTTATTTCATTTATTATTCCATTGGTATATGCAGTAATTTTTTTTTCTTGAACTGCTTTTGCATCTTCAGATGGAACCTCTCTTGGTATAGCAATAGCAATTGAGTGATTTGAGCTGGACAGAGGGATGTAGAAGTCATTGGCCACACATTTCAACCACGTACTTTCATTTAGTTTGAAAACAAAAAGAAATCCTGCGAGTCCTTCCAAAGTAAACAATGCCCAACATCCTTTTCCACCCTCTTTTTGCTGCACACAGGATACCCATGAGAATTCAACCAAACAAAAAAAGGATACCCATGAAAATAACAAAATTGATCAAGAAAATAATCCATTATTGATCAGCTTAATTGAAAATTTCTCAAGTAGGCACAACACAACTAGGAAACCTTGATTTTAAAGTTTTTTTTTCTGGAGAAGAACATATAGTATAATGACAGTAAATTTAAGATTAATGATTAACCAAACAATTGCAAGCAAGAAGATGATTATAGCCAGAACTTATATGCATTCACCATTTCTCTATCATCTAAATAATGTACACCAAGTACGTGTGCACTGAACTGCTAACAAAATCTTCAGATTGGGTTTTGATCATATAAATGCTCTCAAAAAATCAATCCCATGTCTCCATTGTTCAAAATCATGCTCCAACCAACACAAAGGTATTTGTATGCCTGAAGAGTTAACTAAAACTAACAATGTAGCATGAGTTTCATGATCTTCAAAGATGATGACCTAATTAGTAATTTAAGTAGAAATTTAAAAGGCACATATTTGTGCATGATGAAGTGAGCACAAACTCGCACTCAACTCCTTGATCTCCAGTTATTATGTTGTCCTGCAAAGTATTAGAAATTGTTTCTTTGAGCAAAAATCTAAAATTTAAAAAAAAAAGGAAGAAATTAACAGTGATCCCGTACTTAGAATAGTAACATTGTGATAGTAGCTAAAAGAGGTATACATATATTCAATGTTATATTACCCAAAAAAAAATAAAACCTATAGCAAAGCCGTCAAGAAATAATTGCACAAGAAAGGAGAGGGAATAGAAAAGAAAGGAAAAGGTCATAGAAACCTGTAATCGAGTCCGCAAAGCCTTGTCCTTGAATACTACTGTTTCTGGTGTATGTGGGGCAGCTGGAATTTCCCATCTTTTAGTATCATCTCTACAAACTCCCCAGTGAACAACAACATGATCAGGCAAATCTGTTTCTAAGCATAGAAGATTCTTAGCTGTCTCAGGGCACTTCCTTACAGAAACAGTTACTGAATTATTCACAGCAATTTCTTTTGCAATGGCCAGTTCTTCATAGAACTCTTCTACACGCCTAGTTTTCTGTTGAGCGTCTCTGGATTCATTGCTGCTATCTTGATCTTTGGAGTATGGTGATTCTGCTTTGACAAACGCATTTGATAGCTTCCCCAAAGCTCCTAGAATTGAAAAGGAGACAAGCAACTTTCTTTCATTTCTAGTTGGATAACTCTCGAGAAAACTGAAGATCCTAAACCAACCACCCATAACCCACCTCCACAGCCGACAAGAGTGGGCATGTTTGGGCTCTACAACTTAGTAGCAGTGACTGTGAGACAGCCACTTGGCTCAACTATTGGCATTGACATAAATTCACGCTAGATAAACTCAGGAAGAATTCATGCTACTAAACACCTGCTTTCCATTTCAGTATATAACTACAAGAATAACTAGACAAGGAATCATTTATACATATTGACCTTACTAGTCTGTTTTGAAAGTGGGTCCTGTCCTCAATTTTTTTTTAAAGATGTATAGAAACAAGGGAGTCAGTTTCACTATTATGTTTTACTAGGACACTCATCACTCCTCCAGGATTTTGTTACACCATTTCTTGGAAAATCAAAAATTGGTTCAGGCTGCAAATCGTTGGTAAGTGTAAAAGATCCAACAGTATTACGAACAAAATAAATCAAGTAGACCAGAGAATAGAATGGCTTTGACAACCTGGCCATGCGCCCAAGCCCCATTTTGCTCCAACCACATTTTCATCCTCTTGCAGGTAGTCCACAAGAGGCACTCTAAAATCTCTCCCTCTATGCTGATACCAAGCACCAGTTTCTTCATCCTGCACCACCAAAACCCCCCAACAAGGGCAGAAATTCTCACAAAAAGATGCACAATAACAGCCTGCATATCTAACATAAAGGGACGAAATTCTCAACTGTTAATAGTTGAAAATTAGAACCTTGAGAACAAAATTTATCGCTGCAATTGCACTGTTGGGTTTAACATCAATCTTCACTTCATGAGATTGATCACCTCCTACGGGCAACGCTGATTTATTCAAGGGTGTATCTATTGCATAGTCCTGAAATTCCACAAGTATTTCAAATTCATATTGAATGGAGCTCCGCAATCAAACTTAAGAACCCAATACATACCTTGATGGGAATTGAACCAGGTGGCCTCATTTCACTAGGAGGTTGATCCCATTCACTGCAAAAAATAAATATGCATTCTTTAAGTTATTATGAGATTAGTATAACACCATGGAGAGATAGAGAGTAATTGGAATCTAACATTAAGTGGAAGCCTTACCTGCCAACGTCGTCAACATAAGAAACTCCCTAGTGAAGAACCCATTTTCCAGGAAGACTACAACCAACGGTCAGCATCCAATTCTTGGCATTCTTCCCATGATTTAATCTGACAAAGATCTTCCCCTCCACCTACAAGTTCAAGTAGACTAAATAAGACATCGCTAAACTCAGAAATAAAACTTGACGCTCTGTATGGTCGCCGAGAACATAGAGGAAAGAGTAAAATTTATAAGAAATAAACGAACACCACTACAAGTTTCCAGCTCTGGAAACACTGTTCATAAAGAGAAATTGCAGAACAACTGAAAATGTATACAGAACAGAATGTGTATTGAAGCTTTCTTTTGACAAAACATAAAAAGAAATTATTATTAATAACTCTACGTACAGCCTCATGTTCTTCCTTCTTATTCTAAATTTGTAATTTTCTCACTTGTTTGTGCTTGATAAGGGCTCTATCTTTTACAGTAGAAGAGGACGGCATCAAACTGTAGTTTTGCTACCCGTAACCCGCCGGAACTATCAGAGTAAACACAGAATTTATCAGAACCACGACAAAATAAAATCGTAGGTATTTGCAGCAACGAACTAACTCTAGTCAATTTCTTTCACATATATGTAATGTGATGTTCCTACAATTCAAATCTCGTCCAAACTCAACGAATAGCCAGCAGTGTTTTCATCGGTATATTTGTCAAGCCTTGGGTCTTTATTTCGGGTTGTCTTCAACCCGGATGCAACTTAAGATGCTCTTTTAATCCAGCCGTCTAATTTTATCCAACGGTTGCGATCTGTTCTCATTTAAGTTCCTCAATTAAGGCTTTATATCCCTAGGGTTTCATTGCTACAGAAACCTCGCCCCTCAATTCTCACCTCCCTCCCGATTCGTACTCTCCTTCTCATCGATTCTCCATTCCGAAGCGTATCCTTCATCTTTTTATATTGCTTACCATGAGGCGGCAAGTAAATGCCCTCGTACACCGCAAGAGCATCCAAGCCCTAATTGACTAAACCCCTACAGACCCCCTTCCCTTTTTCCAATCCTCCCAACCCTGCAGAAACCAAAACCATTACATCAAAAGCTTGTACTCCCCAACCCTCCTTCTTCTATTACATCGAAAAGATCACACCCTATAGTGATAATTTTATCAACAATTAAATAAAAATCAAATAATAATGCCAATGACATCAGGTTAGATTTATAAAAAAAATTAAAATAATCGGAAAACAAAAAAACAGATTAAATGAAGATGAATTAAGAAAACAATTCTAAAAAGTATATGATACTTACTGGTCCCCAAGCAGAATTACAAATCCTGCTCTCACAATATCTCCCAGCATGGGCCCAGGTACAACGACAGTATTTTAAGATCGATCAAGATACTCAGTTCATCTCTGTTGAATACCCTGACCACGTTCGCATCATGGAACCTCTTGTAGATGTGCTCAAATCGTCAGTACTCTTCTTCCACAGCCTCCACAGAAACCCTCCACGCGGTCATTCTCGCCTGTTCTGATCGTAACGGAGGATGTTTGGAAGGAATCTTGGATGCTCTTGCGGTGTACGAGGGCATTTACTTGCCGCCTCATGGTAAGCAATATAAAAGGATGAAGGACACGCTTCAGAATGGAGAATCGATGAGGAGGAGAGTACGGGTCGGGGGGTCGGCTGGATTAATACATGTGTTCTCGCCTCCCCCCCGATTCGTACTCTCCTCCTCATCGATTCTCCATTCTGAAGCGTGTCCTTCATCCTTTTATATTGCTTACCATGAGGCGGCAAGTAAATGCCCTCGTACACCGCAAGAGCATCCAAGATTCCTTCCAACCATCCTCCGTTACGATCAGAACAGGCGAGAATGACCGCGTGGAGGGTTTCTGTGGAGGTTGTGGAAGAAGAGTACTGACGATTTGAGCACATCTACAAGAGGTTCCATGATGCGAACGTGGTCAGGGTATTCAACAGAGATGAACTGAGTATCTTGATCGATCTTAAAAATACTGTCGTTGTACCTGGGCCTATGCTGGGAGATATTGTGAGAGCAGGATTTGTAATTCTGCTTGGGGACCAGTAAGTATCATATACTTTTTAGAATTGTTTTCTTAATTCATCTTCATTTAATCTGTTTTTTTGTTTTCCGATTATTTTAATTTTTTTATAAATCTAACCTGATGTCATTGGCATTATTATTTGATTTTTATTTAATTGTTGATAAAATTATCACTATAGGGTGTGATCTTTTCGATGTAATAGAAGAAGGAGGGTTGGGGAGTACAAGCTTTTGATGTAATGGTTTTGGTTTCTGCAGGGTTGGGAGGATTGGAAAAAGGGAAGGGGGTCTGTAGGGGTTTAGTCAATTAGGGCTTGGATGCTCTTGCGGTGTACGAGGGCATTTACTTGCCGCCTCATGGTAAGCAATATAAAAGATGAAGGACACGCTTCGGAATGGAGAATCGATGAGGAGGAGAGTACGAATCGGGAGGGAGGCGAGAATTGAGGGGCGAGGTTTCTGTAGCAATGAAACCCTAGGGATATAAAGCCTTAATTGAGGAACTTAAATGAGAACAGATCGCAACCGTTGGATAAAATTAGACGGCTGGATTAAAAGAGCATCTTAAGTTGCATCCGGGTTGAAGACAACCCGAAATAAAGACCCAAGGCTAGACAAATATACCGATGAAAACACTGCTGGCTCTTCGTTGAGTTTGGACGAGATTTGAATTGTAGGAACATCACATTACATATATGTGAAAGAAATTGACTAGAGTTAGTTCGTTGCTGCAAATACCTACGATTTTATTTTGTCGTGGTTCTGATAAATTCTGTGTTTACACTGATAGTTCCGGCGGGTTACGGGTAGCAAAACTACAGTTTGATGCCGTCCTCTTCTACTGTAAAAGATAGAGCCCTTATCAAGCACAAACAAGTGAGAAAATTACAAATTTAGAATAAGAAGAAAGAACATGAGGCTGTACGTAGAGTTATTAATAATAATTTCTTTTTCTTTTTATGTTTTGTCAAAAGAAAGCTTCAATACACCTTCTGTTCTGTATACATTTTCAGTTGTTCAAATATAGTTGTTCTGCAATTTCTCTTTATGAACAGTGTTTCCAGAGTTGGAAACTTGTAGTGGTGTTCGTTTATTTCTTATAAATTTTACTCTTTCATCTATGTTCTCGGCGACCATACAGAGCGTCAAGTTTTATTTCTGAGTTTAGCGATGTCTTATTTAGTCTACTTGAACTTGTAGGTGGAGGGGAAGATCTTTGTCAGATTAGATCATGGGAAGAATGCCAAGAATTGGATGCTGACCGTTGGTTGTAGTCTTCCTGGAAAATGGGTTCTTCACTAGGGAGTTTCTTATGTTGACACCGCAAGTAAATGCCCTCGTACACCGCAGGTCTCGGTGACACAAAGTCAATCCGAGCTGCAACCTCGCAGGATTCAGGGAACCTTGGTCAACCTGATCCGCGTCCTCGCAAGTCTCAGAGATAACACTTCAATCTGGGCCGCAATCCTCGCAGGTCTCAGGGGACCATTAGTCAGCCTGAGCCGCAATCCTCGCACCACACGGTTCAGGCGTCCCCGATACTCGTGGGGCATAAACTATATCAAGGCAACTGGGGGGTATCCTATGGTGGGTTTGAAAACCATAATCTGTTCTTTACATAAACTTTCAATAAACTAGTTCTGAACTGAACTTATTCAATAAACTGGTTCTCAATTGAGCTTAAAATATATCCATATATATATATATATATATAAACCTGTACAATATATTTTTCCTATGAAAACCTCAACAAAATTTTCAAATCCTTCTGGATATCTGTTTTCTCAGTCACACCAATGCAATAAAATAAAATAACATAATAAAATAACAATTGGAATAAAACAACATAATAATTGTCCAGCAATTCTGAAAATACGGATGCACATGTAATGCAGTGTCTACAGGAAGTTAACCTAATGCTCTGATACCAATTGAAACGACCTGACCCAAATTCCACTTTGGAATCCGGGTTGAATCCTGTGCAAAACTAACACCTAGTGCCTGTGGGTCGTAAATGACCAAAATGCCCTGGAAGTGATAACACAAACTCTGGGGCCCTATCTCGTGGCTGCACCTGGTAACTGTAGGCTGCCTACGTACCCTTTCTGAGGGATCAAGCCACACGTAGTTCTTTCACCTGCCCCTGACCTGTAACTGGTTCAATTATTCGTAAAACATACTCTAGGGCTGACGTTTTCAGAGTATCCGGAACTCCGTTTTACGATTCGTCAAATACTATACAATCCTGGAAATACCTAGATCAACATACCTGAAAATGGTTACGATCCAACGGTGCAAAACTAGTGAACCCGGAAATCACACACTAGGCGAGATCCGTTCGGGGTTCAAACGGTATCCGAATTAAGATCCGCGAATTTCTACGCGCTCATGACGACCCAAGGATCATTCTGGAACTGAATGGGGTCTCGACCAATCTGCTCACGCGCCGGCAGCGCGTGGGTGTCCTAAGCGATAACGCCTCGCCAGAAAAACTCAACATCTAAGCTCAAGACTCCTATCCTAGGTATAACACCCTATTTGGAACCACTTTTGTTCTTGGACCTACCCCAAAAACTGGCCGGAAGTGGCCGGAACAGTGACCCGAAAACCTGCTGAAACCTAGCTCGTAAATCGAGCTATCTACGCTGGAAATTTCTGAAATCCTACCCAACCAGCAGCTAGAGCACGAAAAATAGCTAGAAAACCATACCTCACTCGTCTGAAACGATGGCCGGAGGAGGGAGAACGAGCTCCACGAAATTCCGTCAAAAACTGTCCAAACCGCCCTGTTTCGTGGCGGTTTCCGGCTACCACGACGGCAGATCGAGACTGAGATGGGTTGGGACTGGAAGAGGGAAGTGTGGTGGTTCTAACGTGACCGGTCTTGCCTGAATCGGTGACCGGAGGTGGGAGAAATCGCCCCGGGAAGCTGGCTGGTCGAGCTCTGCGAAACCCAGAAATTTCTGGGTTTATATAAACTGAAGTTTGAAATATTTATGGTTATGCCACTGAACTTCTTTTGATCGTAACTCCTTCGTTACAACTCCGATTTGAGCCCGTTATGTGTCTACGGACTCATCTCACTGCGCTCTACTCAACGGTATAATTGAAATCCCCAAATTACTTCCCGGTCAAAAAGTCAACTTTTAAACCAATAAAGTATTCTAGGGGTATAATTGTCTTTTACTGGAATAATTTAATAATTAAATATTAATTTGAGAACCGGGTTGTTACATTGAAAATTTTGTTCAGTTAAGTTATATTGGAACTTGATAACATATTCATGTTGTTCTAAGAGTTGAGACCAGTTTTGATGGCATGATTTTTTTTTTTTTTTTTTTTCTGTATACAGAGGTCTAAAACTATTTCAAGTTATTGGTTGATGCATGCTGAACATTTGGGATTTGGTTTTTTTTTTTTGGGTGTTTGTTTTGGGGGAATGTCCGTTTTACAGGGGAGATTTTGCCGATTTTTTGGTTAGAAGTCAAACCGTAAAAGAAATTTGAGTTTTAATTAGAAGGGCAATTTGGTCAAGTGTGCCTAGCACATGCCAGGTGTTGGACACGCGCAGTGAAACGACCCGACCCAATTTCCACTTTGAAATCCGGGCCGAATCCTGTTTAAAACTAACACCTGGTAACTGTGGGTCTTAAATGATCAAAAGGCCCTGAAAAACAATAACACAAACCCCAAGGCCCTAACTCGTGGCTGCGCCTGGTAACGGTAGGCTGCCTACGTACCCTTACTGAGGGATCAAGCCACACGTAGTTCTTTCCTCTGTTCTTGACCTGCAACTAGTTCGTTATTTTGTAACTGGTTTAATTATCCGTAAAACATACTCTAGGGCTGACATTTCTGGAGTATTCGGGACTCCGTTTTACGATCCGTCAAATACTCTACGATCTTGGAAATACCTAGATCAACATACTTGAAATTGACTACGATCCAACGGTTCAAATGTATAGAACCCGGAAATCGCATACTAGGCGAGATCCGTTCGGGGTTCAAACGTTATCCGAATTAAGATCCGCGAAATCCTACGCGCTCGTGAGGACTGGGAGATCATTCTAGGACTGACTGTGGTCCCCACCCTGCTGCCCACGCGCCGCCACACGCGCTGGCAGCGCGTGGTGCCTAAAGCGATAAAGCCTCGCCGGAAAATCTCAACATCTCGGTTCAAGACTCCTATCCTAGGTAAAACACCATATTTGGAACCACTTTTGTTCTTGGACCTACCCCAAAAAGTGGCCGGAAATGGCCGGAACAGTGACTCGAAAACCGGCTGAAACCTAACTCGTAAATCGAGCTATTTACGCTAGAAATTTCTGAAATCCTACCCAACCAGCAGCTAGAGCATGAAAAATAGCTAGAAAACCATACCTCACTCGTCCGATTTGGTGGCCGGACGACGGAGAACGAACGCTTGGAAGTTCTGTCAAAAACTGTCCAGCGCCGCCTGTTTCGTGGCTGTTTCCGGCGACTATGGCGGCGAAGGCGGCTGGGGTTGGAAGAGGGAAGTTTCGTGGTTTCATTTGGCACTGGTATTGCCTGAATCGGGGGTCGGAGCTGAGAGGAATCAGCTCAGAAAGTCGGCTCGTTCCCCTCCCGAATCCAGAAGATTCTGGGTTTATAAAAATTGAAGTTCGAGATATTTACGGTTATGCCACTGAACTTCTTTTGCTCGTAACTCCTTCGTTACAACTCCGTTTTGAGTCCACTACATGTCTACGGACTCGTTTTGTCGCACTCTACGTAACAGTACAACTGGAATCCTCAAATTCCTTCCCGGTCAAAAAGTCAACTTTTAAACTAATAAAATATTCTAGGGGTATTTTAGTCTTTTTTTCAAATAAATTAATAATTAAATATTAATTTTGGGTTTGGGTTATTACACGCAGGGTTCGGCTCAGATTCCAAAGTGGAATTTAGGTCGGGTCTTGTCAATTTTAATTAATTCGAGTTCTAAGTTGGCTGACTTTTTAATTCAAGGGGTTAAGTCGGATTAGGATCCTAGTTTGGGGGTATTTCAGCAATTAACTCTAATGAAAAATGTGAAAAACAATTGAGTTATTTCGGCAATTTCCTGATATACTGATTGTCATAATCATAAAAATATATAAAGGCTTTTACCTTTTAATTTTTTTATTAAATAAATTAATACCTCCACTTTTACCTTAACAATTCCTGATGTGGAAATTTATGAACCTGATGAGTTATTATTAAATCTTAATATATAATATTAAAATTTTCATGATCATGTTTCATAATAGTGTGACAATGATTTGGAGTGGTGAGCGTTTCTAGCTCCAAAGTTTAGAACTAAATACTTATGTATCGAGGGTCTATTCAATTACATTACAAATACTTTGAATGTTGAACTACAAGGTTCAATGCCTACAATGATGAGATGAGCAATGAGGGAAAACAAGGGTGTAGTTTATATCATGGTTTTGGGAAGAAAAAGAAAACAAGGTTTGAATATATCTAAGTACAAAATTGTTGTTACATTGACTTTCTCTTCTTCGGCACTCTCTGCAACTTCCTCCACTTGAGGTAGGTGTTATACGACAGCCCAGAAAAGACCATTACAACAGACCCCCATTGCCTTGTTGACAGAGGATTGCCACTCAGCAAGGAAGACACCACAATGCTTACAAACTTGCGGGTAGTGGTAATGGTGGTGTTAGCTAAGGAGCCAAATCGGCTTATGGTTAGGAAAATGAAGTTCTGGCCAACAGCACCACAGAGACAAAAGAGAAGAATGTCCCAAGCTGCTTCTGGATGCCTCTTGCAGAACTGGACTGCCTCAAATCCGCTGCCCCATGGCCAACCAAACATGTAGACCATGTTGTATATGGTACCCCATAAATTCATGCCTAACATTATTTCCCAGGCGCTTGTCTTTGGATACCTGAGCAAAGGATGCAAGTAAAAGGATTAAGACTGAATTCTATACTGGTTGCACACGGATGAATCGAAATATCAATTTCATTAATCTAATCCTATAGTAAGTATAGTTCAGATTCATGTGTGTCAAAGAATAACCGAAAAATCAACCAGTACAGGAATGGTTGTAGAAGGATGATGTTGTTCTTTAGCTCATACCTTGCTTTTATGGAATCCTGGGTGGCATTTGTGAATCCATCAAAAGCAAGGTTTAGGAAACACAGTCCATACCCAAGGGGTGCATTTGGGTGAGCCAACTTGCTGATAGTCTTTGAGCTAGTCTGAAATTGACCCAAGCATACATGACAAAAACATAAGAATAGCAACAAAAACTGCTAGATGCATTCACTAATTGTATGAAGAATTATTGAGGACAAATTACAAACAGAAAATTGACGAAAGCAAAAGAAGAGTTTCATTATTGTTCCATTCTTAAGACAATATACGCCACACACACATGCACATGATCTCTCACCTTCAAGAGTGCAAATATGGATACCCCTCCAGCAACAAGGAGAGTGCAAACATATTCGGGAAAGCTGTATCTTTGCTTGTAGACCAGAGTACCCATTAGCATCACTGCACACAAGTAATAACCTCTTATTAACTCCTCCATTTGCAACAATATCTTTTACTTTGTTTGTATTTGTTTAAGAAACAAAAATAATAATCAGAAAGATAGTCCACAATCTTAACTACCAGAACATAATTTTACAATCAAATGCTGAATCCCTTATTGAACTTAATGATAAGCATGCTTCTTGTAGTAAGATACACAAAGATAACAAACTTGTAAATATCTGACCTGGAATCATTTTTGAGGACTTTGCCAAGACCTGCAAGTAAAAACCATAGCTTTAATATCCCAAATCAACAGATCCATATATTTGCCAGGGTAAGGAGATCCATAAATTGCTATTTTTCATATTTGTTTTAATTTAGTTTAATATAGAGATTTTTAAAAACTCTTTTCTGGTCGTCACTTCAATTACCAATTCAACACCCTGATCAACTCAACTCAACGCAACTAATCATTTGTCCCAAAATTTAAAGAGATTTCGACTACATGGACTTTTGCTCCAAACTAATAGAGGTCCTAAGAACATAAACATTTTTCTGCCACTGAATTTAATCCAAAGGAAATGAAATACTCCACTAATATGTGACAATCATCTGCCTCTGGGCTGATTTGACCCTAAAGAAACCCAAATCAGGCAAACTAGAACTAAGACAGAATAGGCATTAAAGCAGATGGCCAATGCAACCAATTTCAATTATATATATATATATATATATATATATATATATAATAGCCATAGCCATATTCTTTCATACTGCCCATTTGGGTTACTGACCTGGGTACATCATCAAAAAGAGAACTTGAAAGCAAACCTGTGCCGGGTAACTGATATACTTCAAAGCTTCAATCCCCATAGCGGGTCCAATCGTATTAGTAATCCCTGCACTCCAGTATGCCCACAAAGGCGCACCTCCAGCATTCCGACTATTCCAAAGCTTTATCACTGTTTAAATAAACCACATGACAACATTATTATTTAGTTTTTTTCTTTTTTTCTTTTACTAGCTCAAATCAGTCCACATTACAAGAAATGCAAGGTAAACAGAGAGATTGAAGCTTACTTATATAGGACCAGATTAGGCAGACCACATTTTGGGCCAAGTTCAGGAACGCAAGGTGCTCGAACCTATTCCCATCTGGCCCGAACCGCTTCGTGGACCTAGAAGAAAGATCACAACAGCACCAGATTTTGGTCATGTCAAAGATTGAATCTCAAAATTTTGCAGACAATTTAAGGAGCTCAAAAAATCCCCAAAAGGTTGCGTGATCTGCGAAATCCCCAAATGCAGAGAACAGAAAGAAGACGACTTACAGAGTTTCCTGAAGAACGCCTTGATAAATATAAGCAGTCCAAATTCCGACGACGCAGAAGCTGAACACCAACACACGCTGGAGCAACGACCCGTGAACTTCCATTTCGGCGCCGATATAATGTGGCCGGAAATATTCCTCTGGATCCGGCCGCTGCCACTTTTTTGGTTTTCCTTTTCCAATTGTTGTTGTTGTTTTTTTTCACCAAAACTTGGGTCGAGATGAGAAGGTTTAAGAGGAAAAGAAGCAGCAGCGGGAGATGGAAGCTACAAGCAAATTAGCCAAGTAATTTTGTTCATAACTGCCACAATACCGGAAACGGGAAGAGACGGTTGATATAGGAGGGCGCGCACAGGCTACGTGGGTTTTTCAACGTGGACGCTTGTGATTGGGTGGATGACTCTACCTCGCGTTTCTCATTGGCTGCAGAAACGCGGACCCTTCTCCTTGGCAGTTGGCACAATATTGCTATTTATTTTTTTGAGTTTAGGGTTATATTTATTTTGGTAGCATTAACTTCAGTTCATGGGGTAGCTTAATTATCAGTATTTTTTATTTTAACATTCAAATATATGTAAAATAGTTTCAACGTGCTTCTGTTGTTAGGTTGTTGGTTAACAAATTTGTTAAACGAACACGTGTCAGTGTCACGCTTGATAAAATTTAATATTCGTGTTTTCAATTTTAACATTTAAACACCTGAACCTTTTGAAATAGTTACAATGTGGATTTGTAATTAGGCGTACGGTCAGAAATTCTATTACAAATTAGTGGGAAAATAATCTAAATACAAGTCCCCATTTTCAAAAATAGTTTGATTTAAAAAAACATATGTAGGTTTGCAATAGTAGCTTCCCCATAAATTTCTTGACTTTTATTTTGGTTTTAGTTTTTTTTTCTTGGCACATAACACTTAAGGCCCAAATGAACTTGTCCAGTCAATATTACCTTACACTTGGACCCCAAGCCCACTGTTTCGTGTTGGGCTTTCTTGGCGGCCATTGTGCATAAAACAAAAAAAAAAAAAAAAAAAAAAAAAAAAAAAAAAAAAGGCACAATAGGCCTTGGAGTACGTGGAGGACCCAGACTCACATAGGTGATAGGTGGCTAAGCTGGATATGGTTAGTGGTGGGAACGCCACGTTATTCAATTCTCCTATGCACAGTTGGTATGGTATGGTCAATACGACTCATACGTATAAAATACTTACATATATTATTTGGTAAATTTCTTGAAAAAATTCGGCAATTATATAATAGTATAATATTACATGATTGCCAAATAATATGGTACGTTAAAAATATGCCAATAATATGTACATGATTGCCAAATATGCAAAAGATATGTATATTATTGTAAAAACACGTATACAAATGAATAATATGATTATGTATTTTGTATAATTAAGACACGTAAATAAGTTTATAAATACATACATATGCATATACAATACACGCATTGTATACGAATTGACTAACTAAGTGTTATGCATGTATAATCATAGTGTCTTACTATCATTGGCATATACACGTCTTGATAAGAAATCAACGGTTGGAATTTGGTAGGTGAGGGGTGGGTACGAGTTTCTTTCTTCCTTGGTGTTCACTCCTTACCCTATCATTGTCTTTGCATGATTTTTTCACCTCCTGCATCAATCATCACTACTAGACAAGACAACTAACATTCCCCTTTTCCCTTTCTTTACAAATTTTCTTTCTTAAATATTAGTAGGAGTACAAAACCAAGTCTTGAAGCCCTTACCGAGCGAGGGGACTCGCTATAGGGAAAGTAGTTAAAAACAGTTATTCATATACTAAAGTGATAATTGGTTTGATGTTTATCATTCTTAATGCCGGTGTAAAATGAATGGATAAAAAGAAATACAGATTTTAACCCATCATACTCAAAGCTGGCCTAAAAGTCAAAGCAAACAAAAAACAGAATTGTCATTTAGTTTTCTAATTCGACGAGTTACAACACAACTTTGAAGCATCCAACACTAGCACTACTAAAACAGAATTGTCTTTTGTTGTATGCAGAAGCATTTTCTGATCAAGACATTTGACAAGTCTCAACATCTCTCCACCGACTCATTAAGTAATTTGACCTGGCATCATCACCAGATTATTACCAGATCAATTTTTTTTTCTTCCACCATTGACAAATTCAGCTCAGTAATTGAAAATTCTTCTCAATATTCAATCTCATCTCTTCTAGAAGAATTTCCTAAAACAGAAGTTGTTCTTCCAGCGTTATTAAGTTACTAATACTTTGAAACCCCAACGTAATTAGGAAACATTATCTATAAAACACAGAATTATCTGATGGAACCTTTTCCCCTGCAGCATTTATTTATTTATTCAGATATATATAGCAGTAGGGTCAAGTGTGAAAACGGTTTGCGCATGCAAAGAATTCCAGTCAAGGCATATATCAAATTTCTACGCAATATTATTATTAGTACAAGGCTGCCCACATGCTTCCTCAAATCAAACTTCTCTTTCTCTCTCTCTCTCTCTCTCTCTCTCTCTCTCTCTTCCATTTGTTTTTGCTTAAGCCAATTGCTTCGCACATGACCTACTATGTCCATTCCCAAATATACCCCTCAAACAGTTCGCAATTATTAAGCTTAAGATTTTTATATCCAAACTTGAGTTAGACGGTTAGGCTTGTTGATCGGGGTAGTGTGACTTTCTTTTTGCATCGAGTCTTAAGATATTTCTTTTTTAATTTTAAAAAAATTCTAATGATTAAGACAATTATTCGAGAAAGTGTTGGAGGGTGTTAATCCTTCCTAGCTAAAAGATGAAATTATTGACCGAATAAAAAAGATGGTCACGAGCCATTTACTCAGTCAACCAATACTGTAGTGTGTGTGCCCACAAATAATTGGTAAATTGAATTAGTATTGTGAAATCGGAATCGAAGGCTGGAAAGCATCTATAGGATCTGTGCAAAGCAAGAGTGATAAACAAGCATTCTCCTCCCACCTTTATTTAAATCGAGTGTTGCTATATTATTATTTTACTTGCACTATCAACATTAAAAAAAACAAAAGATTATTCTTTTGCTTCATTGACTCTTGCAACGTCGACTAATGGAGATTTGAATTAATTAAGCCCTTACACATCATTGCAATTTGTAAGCCATTATATATAAATATAATTATTTATGAACTCAACCGTCTCGCCTCGTGCAATATTCAAAACATTTTAATATCCTAGTTACAATAATAAAGAAAAACAAATGTAGTAACATATTCAAAATCATCTCATAATTCTAATAAGAAATATAATAAAATTCGAGTTATTCTTTTTACAAATTCACACTCATTTTTAAATATCAACCGTCCATATGCGCATAAACGACTATTCTAAATCATCGACAAATAATCACCACTTGATACTAATGACATCACAAAAAGGGTTGTTAATCCACACTAAATTAGGCACTAATGACGATTGTACTATTAGAACTGATGTTGGCATCTTCTTTAATTTAATCAATTTCTTCCCCAAAGAAAACAAAAAGAATTATGGACATCACGGGGGTAGGTTCAATGGAAATAGAGAAGGGTACTTTCGTCATTCTCACAAATGATGGCTCATTGACAAACTACAAGTCCACACGAGGGAGGGCTATAAAGAGAATTCACGAGGTGAAGGTGGTGCGCACGTCACTGGTGAGCGAGCCCCCACGCGTTTGTCGTGTTTCTTAACCGAGGCGAAGCTAAGGCAGACTCATTCTGTCTGCAAAATTTCTTCTCTGTTTCCCTTTCCGCACCTTCACCGTTCTTTCTTCTTCTTCATCTTCTCCCCTCATATTATTTTTATTTTCTTAGAAAGCAGTACAATCATATAAAACCCAGAACAAGTCAGCTACAGTTTCTTCTTCCCTCTTTGCAATGACTTGCTGATTGTTTACCAACAAAACCTTGTGTTCGTAAGAAGTCGTAAAAAGACTAAAGAGAGTGCCTTGGGGATTTGGAGTAGCAAATGGGAAACTGCTTAGATTCTTCAGCTAAAGTAGACACAGCACAGAGCTCCTTTGGTACTTTGGGTAACTTATAAATGATTTACTATGAAAATTACCTTATTTGTTCATATTTTCTGAATGAACTGGTCTTGTATTTTGATGGGTTATATTTTGTTGTTTCTTTGATGGGTATATTTTGATGTTCTTCTGAGAGTCTTTTTTGGTTCAAAGTAATGAAATTTTAGCGGCTTCGGTTGTTTTTCACTGGATAAGAAAGTTGTGTTCGTTTGGGTTCTGGGTAGCTCGGTTGAACTTGAATAAGATCATTAGCATTTTTGAAGCAACTTCTGCTATTAAATGAAGTCTCTTTCTTTGCTTAGCTCCTGGTTTCATTTTTTCTGCGCATATTCGTAAATGGAAGATCTGTCTCTCTCTCTCTCTCTTTTCCCATGAATCGTCAATTTTTTCACTGTCATTTATAAGTTTTTAATCTTTATTTAGCCGTTCCTGTTTCAACCATAGGATATTTTTCCCGTTTAAGGAGAATATAGGAACACGTTGAAGACAGCCTTATAGAGTTTGTCATTATTTGGTAATGCTCAGTGCACTTTTGGTAATCTCATTTAGGCTCATAATTGTTGCATTTTTCTCAGTTTGCTTTTGTCTAAAAATGGGTTCAATCTATGAGAGTGAATTTTGACAATTATTTGAATTCGTTACTATGATCATGTGAAGGTTTAGCTTTAATGGCACGCTAAACTCTCTGAAAGCAACGACTTTAGTAACATTCGGGGTCTGATGGGAAAATTATGGAGGTCCTTTATGCCAAAAGAAAGGTGTTTTTATGGTCCTCAAAAGATGCTTAATTTAAGGTGTTTTTTTGAGCCAGTCTAGCTTGTAGCCTTCGTTGAGATCATCTGATAACTTAAAACTCTGTACGTTGATCTACCAGTTTACATAGTTGTCCTCTTAGAATCCAATAAAAATATTATACACTCTTAATGTTTTCAATTTTGAATTAATTTGCAACATATTCTTGAAGATTTGTACTACATACGACATTTCTCGAGAAACGATCTAATTGGTGTAGGGCTGCTTTTGTTTTTCACGAATTGATTGTTGATTACCAACTGCTTCTCCTGTCAGGATCAGGGGTTTCCAAAATTTCCAGCAAAACCAGCCCTTCCTCAGCTCCCCCCAGCTTGACCATCCCATCATCTGGTGAAAGGAGCAATGGTTCAAGTCTTCCTACCCCAAGAACTGAAGGTGAAATATTGTCGTCTCCAAATTTGAAAGCCTTCTCATTCAATGAGCTAAAGAATGCCACCAGAAACTTTCGCCCTGACAGTCTTCTCGGTGAAGGAGGATTCGGTTATGTTTTCAAAGGATGGATTAATGAACACACATTGACAGCTGCAAAACCAGGGTCCGGAATGGTTGTTGCTGTCAAGAAGCTCAAACCTGAAGGTTTCCAAGGCCACAAGGAGTGGTTGGTAGGTTTCTTCTATAACAATTTGCTGTATGTGTGTTGTGTATAAAATCTCATGTTTGGCTTATTTACTGATAGACAATAAATTTCAGACAGAAGTAAATTATCTTGGCCAACTGTACCATCCAAATCTGGTTAAGCTAATCGGGTACTGCTTGGAGGCTGAGAACCGTCTTTTAGTGTATGAGTTCATGCCGAAAGGAAGCTTAGAGAATCATCTGTTTAGAAGTAAGTGATGTATTCCTCTGATGTTAATATTTCCCCCGACCCTCATCTCACAATTGTTTAAATTATCTTGAAGTTAAACTTTTTGCTCATTTTCTTTCAAGGGTTTAAATCTCAAACAAGGTTGCATTTGCAATTTTGAAGAAACTCCTTGGTTTGGGCTTGAAACCTATGTAATGTTGAACTTTTACATTTGTTTCACAGGAGGGCCGCAACCACTTTCATGGGCAACAAGAATGAAAGTGGCCATAGGTGCTGCCAGGGGCCTCAGTTTTCTTCATGAGGCCGAATCACAAGTCATATATCGGGACTTTAAGGCCTCCAATATCTTACTAGATTCAGTATGTTGAACAAAGAGGACACTAGTTCATCCCTTTAGCAGTTATGCCTAAATATCTTATGATTAAATTGGATAAATCACTGACATTATGGTGCATGGGGGTCCAGGAATTCAATGCGAAGCTTTCTGATTTTGGCTTAGCTAAGGCGGGCCCCACTGGTGACAGGACTCATGTATCTACTCAAGTCATGGGTACTCAAGGCTATGCAGCACCTGAATATGTTGCTACAGGTGTGTTTAATGTCTATATTAAGTATTGTTGCTATTTCACCTTTGAACAAAGTTTGCATTGAGGCATCTTTTTAGGGCCATTTCACCAAATTTCCCATAGTCCGGACTGGTCATCTATAACACTTTGATTAGAGGAGTCACCTTGGTGCCAGTTGACTAATTATAAGTGATCATTTGCAAACTCTCTGTTCAGGTGGAATTTACTCATCTATTGATTCAAAAGGTCAAGAAAGAAAAAATTTAAGCTTTTGAGTTGTATCTGGGAATAATTTATTGGTTGAAATTTGATTTATTCTTAATATTTGACATTAAGATTTCTTCAAGGTGGAACTTTTGTAAAAATGGGCTCTGCATTTATGTGCAAGCCATAGTTGTGGCGGAAACAATGCAAAGAATCTTGAGTACTTGGATTCACTGTGTACACATCACATAGTAATGCTTCTTTACTTGGCTTACACCCATTTTCATTGTTTTAACAGGTAGATTGACTGCTAAAAGTGATGTGTATAGTTTTGGTGTTGTATTACTGGAATTATTGTCTGGACGGCGAGCTGTCGATAAAACAAAAGTTGGTGTCGAGCAGAATCTTGTAGACTGGACAAAACCATATTTGGGTGACAAAAGAAAACTATTTCGGATTATGGACACTAAGTTGGAGGGCCAATATCCACAGAAAGCAGCCTTTACAGCTGCTACTCTTGCTTCACAATGCCTATGCGTAGAATCTAAACTTAGGCCAACAATGTCGGTGGTATTAGCTACGCTGGAGCAACTTGAAGCCCCAAAAACTGCAGCCAGAAACTCTCAATCAGAACAGCAGACGCTTTCTGTTCCTCACCGGAAGTCACCAATGCGACAACACCATTCTCCTCTCAATATAACACCAAGCGCATCCCCATTGCTATCCCACCGGCAATCTCCACGTGTGCGTTGATGGAGTCTCCTTTATGTAAATTACTTATTTGACTCCATATTTTGTTTACGTAGCATCAAGTTTGGGCATGTAATTTGACACAGTTTTGAGTTATTCTGAGGTTACTTCCACCTGTAATTCCAGAAGCTATGTAGCTATTTTGTAGTGGTAATCTGCTTGATGTTTGTAGTGTATAAAGTTAGCCATCTATCAGTATATATAATTTTGCCGGGTGACAGACATTCATTATCCCGTCACGACTGCTGGTGTCAAATTATCTTGTTGCCAATTTAATCCGTTCAAGTACACGCTTCTCTCTCTTTCTCTCTCTCTCTCTCTCTCTCGTTACTTATAAAACATTTTATGCTTTGTAAAATATTGTTGTAGTTGCTGTAGTAGGGTTTGCTAAAGCATTGGTTCTTTGATGAAGGCTGGGCATGACAAATCCAGATTTTTTCTAGGCAAATATGCTGGTTCAACTTTTCCTTGTGTATGTCGATGGTCTCTTAATCACTGGAAATGGTGATGTTGAAAACTGAAACTAGCTTCTTGAAGCAGGTTCTTCTTAAAGAAAAATTCATATTAAAGATTTGGGCTCTCTTTAATATTTCCTTGATGTTTAAATTATGGGATTGGATGACGGCTTATTTTCCCAGTGAAAACTTGTTCATGAAAATTATCATGATACAAGAATGGCAGCTAGCTAGTTACCAATAGAGCATCACTTGCAGCTCAATGACCCAATTCTACTTCTTGTATATAATGCCTGCCATAACCATATGACCAAAAGCAATTCAAGCAAAAACTATTTCCTTCGTTTTCATACAACAATGTTGTAGCGTGACATTGTGGGATATAGCATTATCAAGGAAATCAGCTTACCATGCCTGACATCCATTTCATCCAGGGAAAATGCTTCTGTAAGGAGGGCATGGGGTGAACGTAGTAACATGGACTGAGACCCGATTGCTGCTGCTTCTGTTTTCTTGTAACTGCTCCAAATCACCCACAACTTCGGCCATTGTTGGTCTGCTCTTGGGGTCTGAATCAAGGCACCGGAGGATGAGCTCAGCAAACTTGTGAGCTTCTTCCACAGGGAAGTTATTTCCAAGTCTCTGGTCAATCACATGATGCAGCTTCCGCCTGTTACTAAGATATGGTTCAGCCCACTTGGTTAGATCACCCGCCATCCCATCCGAGTATTTCTTCACGGCACAGGAGCCTGACAAAATCTCCAAGAGCACCACACCAAAGCTGTATACATCGGTTTTGAGTGTCACATGCCCTGCAAAAATGAAAAACACATTACCTTGTTTAGGACTATGAAATGTCCGGCATGCATACATACATACAACGGCTGTATACAATGTCCTCGTAAAATAACTGGTCAAGCAGCCAACACGTGAAGTACAAAATGTGAGAGATGCTGTATACACCAGTTGTATGTAAGGATTCTTATAATTAATTGCAGGCTCCTCTGCCCTTGTAGATTTTGGTCTCTGGTTGAGTACCTGTCCCTATGTATTCAGGTGCAATGTAGCCTTTGGTGCCAAGAATCCTTGTCATTACATGGTCCTGGCCATCTGGGGGTCCATATTTAGCAAGGCCAAAGTCTGAAAGCTTAGCATTGCAGTCCTGCAGTGTTGGTTAATAATCATCAGGGTTGATATATAGCCACAAAAATAAGGTGAACAAAGCTTGGTGCCTTCATCAGAATCTACTCGTTATCTTATATGTCAAGAAGCACGAGTGACAGAAACTCACATCATCCAACAGAACATTCGAAGCTTTTAGATCGCGATGAATGAATGGCGTCTTATGAGTGTGAAGACAATTCAGAGCCTTGGCCGCCCCAAGTGCTACTTTGATTCTTCTGCTCCAATCTAGTTGTGTAGCATTTTCTGTTTATGCCAATCAACTCAACTTTAGCTTAATAACTTCCTTCTAAGCTTAACTCTAGGCTCTATATTTACATGCAGCCAACATAATATGTAAAAAAGAAAACACAGAACTTTCTTCTTCTCTCTCTATCTGAGTGCTGTACCTGTCATGAGTTGGGCCTCCAAGCTTCCTCCGCTCATATACTCATAGACCAACATTCTGTGCTCACCTTCGCAGCAGTACCCTATTAGCTTCACTATGTTTGGATGGCTTATTTTGCTCATAAATTTCCTCTCATTCTGCAGGCATAACATAAACCTCACACACAAGCAGACAGAGACGCAGAGAGAGCTAAAAGAAATAACAAAAGCTGACCTCCCATTGTTCATGGCCTTGTGCTCCAGTCTTCCTGAGCCTTTTGATAGCAATAGGAAATCCTTCACTTGGTTTTGCAGCAGAGTTCAAGTTGCAATAACTGACATACCCTTTGTAGACATCGCCGAATCCGCCTTGTCCGATTAAATTCTTACTGCTAAATTTGCGTGTGGCAGCTTTCAAGGAACTATAACAAAAGCAGTAAAGCTTGTAATCCCGGAACCCTCCTTCCTTCCTAGTTACCGTCTCCAAAGTCCAATTTTTTGGACTTGGAGTGGCTGCATAACCATGCCTTGTATTTTTACCAATCTTTTCTGCACCTACATACACACAAATAGAAAGAAGAAAATAATTAGCAAAGGAAAAGAAATGACTTTAAAATAGATGCAATGAGTACCTATATCTGTGTTTGAACAGATGATTGAATTCCTTTCTTGAAGTGGTAATCTACGTCTTTCACGTATACTCTTCTTTTCTGTCACAAACCATTTTATATTCATTAGAGAAGCAGTAAACACAAACATTTTTTTCAACAAAAATTGTGACATTTGTCTTAAGTACCTTGACCTTGTAAGAAAGTTGGGGAAGCACTTGGAGCTCTCTCTTCAACTGTTCCATTAATCTTCTTCTCGGGGAGAGAAACTTGTAACCCAATGTCCCCTTTACCAAATGACAGAGGAAAAGATTTTCAAGTTAAAAACTTCATGCCTAAAATATTCTGATCATAATGATCATAAGATGAATGCAAACAAACCAGTGGGAGGCCTTGGAATAATGGCAACTGGTGTCTCTGGCTCTTGAATCTTTTTCCTCAAGCAATTTCCCATCACCCCAGTTGTTGATGACAATTGTGGTAGAAGAAGCAGAACCGAAAGACATTAATTAAGGTTGTGAGGAAAGAGATCAGAGAGTTTGGTTAATTATATTAATGAGGAACAAGGTGCAGTAGAATGATAAACACGATTATTATTAATTAAAACTAAATACAACCTAGTTAAAGATGATCCGGTGATGTGAGCTAGGTGGGTAAACTATGTGCGGGGTTTGCAGTTATTTCGATGATTAAGGACAACGCAACACTGCTGCCGATTATTACAAGGTGATCAAGTTTGGAAAAACTATGAAATCTTTTCTCCTGTCACAATTTGTCATTAGGAAATGTGCACATGGTTGCTCTATGCCTCTATCAAAACAGCTTAGATTGATGATTGATATTGATCTTAACTTCCTAATTAATATTATATTAGTGGTTGGATTGGATTAGTCATTAAATGATTAATACAGCTGGAAGAGGTGGTCTGGGCGCAGCTTCTCAACCTGAGGGTCAAGCTCAAGATGGTGGGTGTAAAGACAAAAACCCGACTCTTCTAATACGTAAAAGGGGATGAAGATTATAGTACAGTCAACTCTAGTCAGCTTAACTTTTTTCATTTTACCTTTTTTAATCAAATAAGCAAGGATTTTGTGCCCCGTGAGTTTGGGGTTTGTGAACCATTGAAGAAGTTAAAAACTTGTAAACGACAAAAAAATATCTGGGTGTCGTATATTAGGAATATAAAGCGGTATGTCGTTTATGTGAAGGAAAGGTCGTTTGTAATTAATGATTTCAACCTATGTATATATATATGGTGCTATTAAACGAACTCTAAAACTAACTGATTACACCCTACTATCAAACTATTTATTGAATTACTAATTTAGCCTAATATAAAATAACCAAAAAATATATATTAAATTGTGAAACAAATGTAATTTTAATAAGTACACCATACTCAAGGACTGACCCAGGATTTTAAAATGAGATGGGCTAGATTTACCTTATTAGACTGTTAGATTTTAGGCTTGGCTAAACTCCTACGGCTTGTTCGTTATGAAAGGCTGTATTGGCATGGACTCTGATCAAGAACTGTCTTGGATTGGCTTGGCTTGGCCTAAGCTAGATAACACTTGTACCGCATTTGGTGTATGCTTGGAAAAGGACAATATTTTTCAATATTTTTTTTTATTTTTTAAAAACATATTAAAGTGAATTTATTATTATTTTTTAGACTTTTCTTCTCTCTCTGCATCTCATTCTTTTCTTCTTCCTCCCTCAGCTTGCTTCTTTTTATCCAGCCTCTCTCATTCGCCTCTTCTTCTCAATCTATTTTTCTCTTTCCTTTTTTTTTCCAAATTTTTTTGCTTTGCTTCTTCTCAATCTACTCCGTCTTCTACTTCTCCCACTGCTTGTGTAGTCGTCGTTGTCTCACAGTCACCATCGTTGCATAGTTGCCGTCATCCACAACCCATAGTTCAAGCTGTGAAGTTGTTGTCTCCAATCGGTGCTCGCCAAAACTAACTGGAACTTATGGCGATGCTAGATTGGGGTTACTACATGTGGCTGTGACTGTGGGGGTTTGGATCGGTTGCAAGTGCTTGGGTGGTCGGTGGTTGCGGATGGCGCTTGGGTTGGGTGGTCGATGGTTGTGGCAGAGGTGCTTGGTTGTTGTAGGCACTTGGGTTGGGACTAGCTTATCCCTCATTTTCATCATATATGCTTAACAGTTAATATTAAAACTAACTATACAAAAAGGAAAAAACTCACTTGGGCTATAGCCCAAGTTGTACATACCATAGGTCCGTCCCTGACCATACTCACCATATTCAACCCTAATCAAACGTAAGTGAAAAACTCTAATTCCCAAAGACATATCTATAAGCTGTATTTTTCTGGATTTTTAGTGAGTAATTTTCATTTTTCAAAGTAAATAATTTTAAAAAATAAA